GTTATAGTCTACTACTTTTAAGTACCATGGTTATCCTATCATTGTTCAAATACCATGGTTATAGCTACATGTATATCATTGTTAAAACCATGGTTATAGCTTTATCATCATTTAAATACAAGTACTGCATGGTTATAGTCTATCTATCAAAGTTGCTCTATTTCTTTTCTAGCAAGTGATCATAGGTTTTACAAAATTTACATGTGAAACATGAAAATAGCTTTCAAGAATGTGAACTATTTAAGTATTTCTTAAAGTCATGAAAGTAAAAATCAATAAGTTATATCAGTTAGGAAAAATGTTTTTTCTTCAAGTAAAATATGGGAAAAAGACTATAGTTAACACATGATCTATACTAGTGTCTGTTTCTGAAATCTACTTAATGTAATTCTATTAAGATTCATTAATCAAGTATACCATCAAATTACCTCATATGTTATTGTGAACAGCATTAAATTAAACTTTTATCAAACATAAGTTTGTAGGAAAAATGTTGGTTGTGTAAAATGACAAAACAAAGTGCAAATTCTTCATTATACTTAACATTATGAACTGCAATAATATTGTCACCTTTAAATATTCAAATATCTACATTACTGTATCTCCCCTATAACCAAATCAACCAAGTACAATGTACATGTATATATAATTTATCATGAAATACTGCCCTAGAAAATATACATTTATGATTTACATCTTAATTCGTCAACACAATTCCTATTTACTCCCACAATTCCAATTAATGCCCATTTTTTAATCACTCAATTATATTGCCGAGAAAAAATATGTCTAAGTTCACGTTCTTTCAAAAAATTCATACATTTATAATAATTCTGTAAGCAATGCACTCTACAACCCAGAATAGCTTCTGCCATAAACAAAAACAGCGAAAGGAAATAACAAACAAACAAGCTTAAAAATAACTCGTTAGCCTGGCCTCGTATTTCATTTCAGAAAATATTTCAAGGACTTGTTAATTAACACAGTACAAGTACATCTATTATTATCGGTGTTGTCATACAAGAAAATCATGTTTCATAGTCATGATATAGAAAATATGAATCCCTTGCGTAAACTGCTATTTCAAAAATTTAATTTTGGCCGTCACTCAGAAATTTTGAAACAAAATACACAAATATTAACTGGTCTATATCACATAACAAACTGCCAGACTTTTCTCCACAAGGCAATGTTAACTTCTACAAATCAAAAGCATAAATCAAAGTAAATGCACCAGGGTGCAAAGTTAAAAATATTAGAAAACCTGAAAGCCAGGACTTTAATATTACATGTATTTCAATTGGTTTTAGAATAAAAGAGCTTTCAGGAAAGGAAATGCTTGATGCCTGAAAACTTGTACCCATATAAATGTCTTTTCCTGATTTTTTTTTTAGTAGATACCCAAATTTGTAAAAATATGCAGTAGTAAAGGCTTTAACCTGGTACCTAAGATTTCATAGTCCGAATTCTCAACATAATGTCAACAGTCAAAGATCTACAAGAAAATTAATGAAAATGCTTCGTAAGGTTAGTTAAAAATTTCAAAGACATTCGCCTTGTACATACTATATCTTATATATACGCAACTCTTTTATATTTAATATAATTTGTTCTTGCAAATTTCCAGTATTTCCTTATACCAATACTTAAAAACGAGATAGCTTTACAGAAATAATACAATTCCATGAACAAAACAATGATGTATTTATAATCTAACCTTTCTGGCATTAACAATCAAAACAAAATAAAAATCAAAAAAACATCATTATGATTCATATAATTTTTTATACAAGAAAATATGTTTTTTTTAATTAATTAAAAAAAAAAATTCAACAGTAAAAAGACACTGAAAACCAGATAGTACTGTATTCACAAAGATATCTTTATCTACACAAATAACAAATAATTCACATTAAAAACAACACATTTGTTCTCAATACATAAACAAAACTCAATATACATGTATATATACTATTATACTATATGGCGATTGAAGTCAAACAGAGTAAAGATGTGACATACATAAAAAATCTGCTTAAAAAAACTTTTTTTCCTATGCTTCGCTTTTGTTCTGTCCAATCTTTAATATTTATTTTTAACACAAAGTTCACTTAAATGTAGGGGGAAAAGAAGGAAGTTGGAAATATAAAATGACTTGGCTAAGTATAGATTTTTGTAATGGCCAGCTTGGTTTATATATGAGGAATGTGTCATCAGCCTGTATTACTCATTGTACAGTTTTAACATTTCTAAACTGTAAAAGACTTTGTCCTGATCTAGTTTTAATACAGATCACTGTAACTTCAAGTTGAACTCTAATTTAATAAAAGCTAACATAACATCATAAGCAGTTTTTGAAGAACAGTTATTATATGAAATTCAACTTCCCTTCCATGCATTAAACTGAACACCTAGGTGATCAAACTCACAACCTATGACTTATATCGCTGATATATTATAGTAGTAAGAAAATTACACCTCAAGACACTAGAAAAACTCCTTTTTTTGTCTACAAAAAGTTGGTCCTTTATTTCTGATCAAATTATTAATAGTTGAGACATAATCAGACAAAGCCCTACAACGTTTGAGCTTATACCGTAGTTCAACTGTCCTTGAGGTTACAATGCAGCAGACAGGCAATGTTGGCACTCATAATAACATAGTTGTGCTGTCCTTGAGGCTACAATTAAGCAGACACATCAAGTTTGTGTAAAGCTGACTCATTCCCTAATTGCTCATCGTTCTTAAAGAAAGGATTACCACTTCATAAAAATAAATATAAACCCTTGAAATGAAATGGACTTGCCCTGTTTTACTAAGGAACAGTCCAATGGAAGTTTAAGGGGTTTCAGGATGATTAATACTAAAATAAAGTAGCATAGTCATAAAGCTGCCCTGGTTGACCGTTTTACACTGGTGGCATATAGACAAGTTTCCATCTCTTTGTGCATCAATAGCAAAACCAACCTTTAAATCAATGTTGATAAAACTTTCAATTTTTGTAAAACTGTGGAAAAGTTCAACAAAAGGTCATCATCAATAAGGCTCATTCATTCATAACCTCAATTATCTGGAATGATTTTCACTTATTTGGTCTTGTAAACTCAACTACCAACTTCAGGGTCATTAGTTTTTTTGTTTTCTCAGACTAAAAAAATATGATTTCATAAAAGGTGTGCCATGTTTACCTTGGAATATTTCCAAAATAAAAATAAGACAAGAAACATGGCAATGCCATGAAACCAGGTTTTCAATTATCACCATTGTAGATAAATATGTTGTATTTGAAATACAAATACAAGCAACAAACAATGTAACTATGTGCAATGTAAAACATGAATAATGTAGGAGGAATTGCCACTGAAGAAGTGTTCACTATAATATTATGTATAAGGAAAAAAACAAAGGGCCATAATTAGGTCAAAAACTATCCAATCACAAAACCCCGACAATATGTGCCAGGGTGCTTGATGACAAAGCTTCTGTGAAAGTTTGAACAAAATCCGTTGAGAAATGTAGGACGAGTTCAGCACAGAAGAATTTGTTCACTATAATTATATTGATAATTCTGTATAATGAAAAACAAGTTACAAAGTAGACATGAAATAATATATCATATCTTTTTAAATTACCTCCAAAGATGATATGACCTTTGACTGCCAAATCAAGTTAAAATCATGTAAACAGGATTTTCAATGTTAATGTCACTGTGACCTTGACCTTGGAGCCAGCCATGCGGAACATGCGTTCTGCACGTCATCTTGATGTGGTAAACATTTGTCTGAAGTTTCATCAAAATTCTTCAAAGGGTTGAAGAGTTACAGAGCGGACAGGATTTTCAATGTTAATGTCACTGTGACCTTGACCTTGGAGCCAGCCATGCGGAACATGCGTTCTGCACGTCATCTTGATGTGGTAAACATTTGTCTGAAGTTTCATCAAAATTCTTCAAAGGGTTGAAGAGTTACAGAGCGGACACAATTTCGTTTGACGCCCGCCCGCCCAGCCGCCCATCCGCCCGCCATACCCCAATCTAATAACCAGGATTTTCAAAATTGAAAACCTGGTTAAAAAACAAGAAAAGAAATTTCCATTTCGAAAACATAAGATTTTTTTTTTGCGTTTCTTAATGATGACTGGCCAACAACCATAACACTCCCTAAAAGTTAAAACCTTAAAACCACATCCCAAACTCTTAAATACCCCATGAAAATAAAAAATAAACAAATAACAATCATTGATTGAAGGCATATGAGCTTGTTTTTGAAGCATTGGAATATCTAAATTTAGCACAAATGTAACTTGATGACAAATTGTACCCGCACAGAGGTATCATATTCCAATGTACCAAACAAAAGAAACGCTGAAGTTCAAAGAGGTATTTTAAGTATAATGAGGCAAAAGAAGATCCAACTATTTGCTTGCTAATACAAAATAATAGTGTTCCTTTACTGCAAATACCTGTATTAAGCTGGTATAGAAACATCTTAGTTTTTGACAAATTAAAGTACATAATTCAGTAAAAGATAACTATTAAACATGAATGCTGATAAAATAAAAACAAAATCTTTTTTTAATCTTTACACAACTCTGACAAAATACTTTAACTAGATTCTATATTAAATTCAGTTCAAAACATCAAGAACAGTGATAATTAAGTTCATCTGAATCGGTGTCGAGTGATTAATATGAAACGCTTAAAAAACTTTCATTTGTCCGAAAAAATAATACTTTTTTCAACAAAAACAAAATACCTTAAAGCCTTGATACAATGTGAATAAAGAGCTGTTTTTTTGGTAGTGGCCTTGTATTACAATTTTGACACCTGTATACAAAACCTATAACTGGTAAACAGTCGCAGTTCAAGGCCAAAAGATAACATTAAGCTGTAAACATGCCAAATTACACCATGATTTTTGTGTTTCCTCAGCATTTTGGGAAACCGTAGTTTCACAATGCAGTTAGTGGGTTTAAAGCATTAAAATTTTGTTAATTATAACTTCATCAGATGATCTGTTCATGATTTTAAACTGTTGAATTAAAATTTCAATTGAATTTTGAAGTGTTGAAAATTTTAATAGACCGCAAAATGCGGTAAACTCAAGTCATTAAAACAGTTTCATTATCTTGAAAAACAATTATTCCCAGTTAATGAATATTAAACACATAAAACTGAGGGACTTTTGTATAATGAATCCATGATTTTCTCATTTAACGCCAGCAAAACAGAAACGAAATTTCAAATAAATTCTTAATTAAGAATAAACTGTCCTATGTAAAATCATGGCCATACGCAACCTTATAAATTACTAGTTACAGATCCTTAGTCAATAACAGCTGAAGAGACATATATAAAAATAACCCTAGCGCGACCCGATTAAAACCACAGTGATAATTCACCATTATTGATTCTAGCAACCTTGAACTAGACCATCTGTCCTATTTTTGGCGATACTAGATATTTGTTTGGCTTGTTTTCATTGAAAAAAAATCCATTAAATAGCAAGGAGATTTTTTTTTTTTGGTTCTTTTATTACATATTGCGCAATACTTACTGATTAACAAATTACTTAAAACAGTATTTTTTCTTCTATCAAATGAATTTATTTCTTGAGATAAAAATATCTGTGTACTTCAATTTGTAATGAGAACTTGTTTTCTTTTTTTCTGTTTATTTTGTCATTTTTATTCCAACCAGATTAACAATACATGTATAAAATTGCTCGCAAGTTTGATATTGGATAAATTCCTTATGGCTTGGACAATTTATGGGGCTCCCATTAGTTTTGCCCCCCCCCCCCCCCCCCCTTTAAAAATGATCTGGACATCCATGGCATCAAAGAATCCATGGGGGATCTTAAAATTCTGAGTACTCATGGCAAATGCACAGTATATGCACTCATGGCACATTCCTCATGACATAAAGTTTGAGTACATATTATATGATATATCCATCAAACATCAACTCATTCCAGGAAAGTATGAATATGTGCTCAATGCAGTCATATAAGATCTCATATAAGATCTGTATACACATGCCATGGAATTCTTATGGCATTATTCTTATGACACCCATACTCAGGTCTGACACTGCATACCATATTTAACATACTTGAGACATGAAATGAAACTTTTTTTGAGACAGAAGAGAAGTTGTAAGAAATCGCTGTAGACTTCACAATATATGTAAGTTGTTTTTCAACCAACCAGTGAAATAAACTAATTTATAATCTTTTGATAGCATTGCCAAAAGTGAATTTGCCAGTATTCTTTCCTATAGGGCATTACAAAATGACCTACATTGCAACACAAAAATAAATCAGTTAGCTTGACATTAAATAAAATATAGTTTAATCAAAGGTTGTATAAAATACTTTGATAATGTCATATTAAAGAAGAATAAAAAATAAATTTTTATGATGGGTATAGGAAGATAAAATTCTATTTCAAAACATTCAGACTTTTAACAATTCATCAAGATAGAGTTTTGCAAGTATTATGCATTGAAATGTAGGTTTTAAATATTTTTGAGTTTATTGTGTGGCAAAAACAGGCCACATTAAAGGCCAGAGTTGGGGATTTACCAAAAGTTTAATTTTTGGAAATAGTTTAAACTACTTCATTTCAATACCTTTATCATAAGAAATACTCAGACGAAAGTATATTATTTCAAAAGTTCTAATTGTTATTTAGATGTGTGGCAAATAAAATATTATTTTATATAAATGCTGCAGTTAATCAATGAAATACAATAGTATAATTTAATAATTAATGCAAAAAACAAGCGTATTATCTGTCTGCTTAAATAATTTCTGACAAATGAATGTATAAAATCCAATAAACAGTAAGTTTGAAACTTGTGAAATAGTTCTGCATCAATTAGCATGTCTCGGCCATATAGATTTTTCTTTCAGAAAATCATGAAAATGCATTACAGGTTACAAAATGTTTAGTCTTTTTTTACCATTTTTTAAGTTTTTAACCAGTTCGTTGTAATTTGCGCCAAAAAAAAAAGAGAGTTCCAAAATTTGATCAAACTGTAAACAAGAAACATTCATTAGGGTACCGCTGAACAAATGTCCGTACATTCTTTACACTGTGGACACATCCTTCATACATACAATAAAATGTTCACATATTTACCTGTCATCACATCATTCACAGATTTGTCAGTCACACTTTATTTGTTACATGTCAAGAAAGTAGTTCACACTTCCGATATGGTCAAAAAATATAGTTTTAAAAGCAGTAAGGTTATGTAAAAAAGCTGCACAGAAAATATCACTGCATATGTAGTTGCCCTATAAAGTAGCTTCAGTGGATATATTTGCTATGCTTTAGTTCCATATAGACATCTTCACGGCAAAGGTTTCGCAAAGAGGTCGTATGAAATGGTAATCATATGCCTTGCAATATGGACAAGGTATCATGTGACTGTACTCACTGAAGTACGGTAGACCGCTCCCGACATCTACGACAGCCCTTCGACAATGCTTACAAGTGAGACGCTTCTGACAGCAAGGCATTGCCGCAAATATGTCGTATGAATACATCGAACCTAACAGCAACGAGCTACCATCCCATTTACGTTTACAGGCCACACAACGTACATCATTTCCACCCTCTAGACAGGAAACACAGACCGCGTTGATATACTGGAGTCGTCCCTCTGAAATCACTTGTAGTGCTTGATTGTCATAAGCCTGGGGAGATAGGAATAATGTTCCATCAACTAACGGGTAACGATCGAAAACACATAGCTCATTTTTGCACAAAAGACAGTGGAGTGATGTAATCTTGTATGAACTCAAGTGGTTGAGAACAAACGAATGAACATCATCATTTCCATTCAGGGCATCATCCTCCATCTTTATATGATAAGGATTCTGCTTGTGCTTTGGAAGAATGCTGAAGGCTGACAAGTCGCAGCGTTTTGCAAACATGCTCGCCAAAGACCCGCTTATAGGACTATTATCAGGACTGGATGAGGATTCCATGAAGCTGAACCTGGAGTTGGACTTGTGTCCAAAACGTATGACTGCAGAATTCTGCGGGGAAGGAGGCACCGGTGAATCAGAACCTGAGGTTACAGATGAGGCAGAATTTGGTGGACTACTTCCGGTACTGCTTATACTGTTGGCACGCAGACGTTCATCATTTCGGTTGTTTATGATGGTTATACTAGGGCTTGCCTTTCGTATATGAATAGAATTGCCATTCACATGATCAGCATTATCAACTTTTCCATTTGTAACAGTATTGTTAGTTTTTGTGTTAGCATTAGGAGTGTTTGCATTTGTGTTGTTGTTACCAGATGGTCTTCTCTCACGTGGTACAACATTGCCAGTATTCAGCTCAGGTTTGCCAGTTGTTTGCTTCTTCTTGTGTTTCTTCTTACCAGCATTATCTACATGAAGCGGTGCTATATAGTCCAAATCTTTTCTTAGATGCCCTTTTCCACAGTTGCAATCACACGCTTTGAATGCAAGATCATACCCTTTCTTTGTCCATAAATTTTGCAATCGTTGTTTTTCACTCCAGCTACGTGCACGGCCGCACGAGCGTAGATACGATAGCACGCTTTCCTCGAAAGATTCAAAACAACTTTTATGCATCCAATTTCCTTCCGTGCATGCATCATTGTTGCATACAACACGGACCGCATCCGCAACATTTTCAGTATCTATCATTTCATCCTTAACCGGGCAGATTCCAGGAAAACAACATTTCTGCATACGCTGGCCATTCTGGACAGGTCTGGCAGGAGCATGGTTGTCGTGATTCCCCGGTACGTTGTTGTTTGTATCCGCCCTATTCGCGTTACTGCGATTAATTTTAACATGCTTTTGGTGCGGCATGATAGAATATATCCACAAGCAACAGATTCAACCTTTCGAATAAGTTGTCACAGAAAATTTCACTAATTAAAAGCAGTTTATTTCGCGTACATGCGTTGAAATCCCGGCGAAATGTTTGTTATGTTTTGCTCGTTCAATGGCTTAACTTAACATGCGTTACGATTGGTTATTTTCTGGATCAGTGTCGTAATGTAAATTTTCATTGGTTAATGGATAACCCTGACCTTGAGGTCGTATTTTATTATGATAATAAGCGCGAGCGATGAAGTTGTTTACTACGATCAAAAGTAGGTCAATGGTGTTGAATCTGTTTATAAATTTAGATATTTATTTTTCATTGAAAGCTTAACTACGAACAATCATTACAGAAAAGGAATCGCTTAGTTTATCGCACAGTAAATTTAGGCCGCATAATATAGAAAGTGCAACCGGCCTGATTTTGTTAGGAGGCCCTGTAGGGGTAATTACTAGTATACATGACAGATAGTGCTCAGTAATTCGCTGAAACCCAACGCACACAACTGTGTAGGCCTACACAGGTACGTGTAAATTATTTTGATAATCCACTGTTTAATTTGAAGTATAAGCCTGTTTGTTCAAAATCAGGGTAGGTTATATCTATTTAATATACCTCAAATGAGGTAAAAAAAAAAAGAAGATAAAATCTGAATTTCTTAAATAGATCAGTTGGGACACTAAACACAGAAAGATACGCAAACATGGTTAAAAAGTAAAAAAAAATACACTAGACTAGTATACTCATCATACAAATTGAAACTATTAAAAAAAAAATTAAGTGAAAAGTGTTGCAACACTTCAAACTTGGGTCATTTTTCATAATAATTATTAGTAATATCATTCTGGAACAACGATTTTAAATTTTGCATACTTGTAAGTTATATGTCAAATTGACTGAGTTCCCTAAATAACCGCAGTGGAGTCCCTTTAAAATTATTTTTTTTTTATAATATTAGATAACAGGTATATCAGTACTTGTGACACGCTCTGTAAGGTAAACAAATGTTTATTATGTGACAGTTTAAACGTTTACCACCGGTGTTTACATTCGGTTCAAACCCAACCGAATTAACATCTTCTCCCCAACTAGATTTAATTAAAATGAATGCAGTTAAGTAGATCTACTTAATTTTGAATTATTTCAATATCTATATATGATGATTTTAGGCATTTAATATATTTGCCTTTACCCCTGTCCCTCATCCTCTCTCCTAATTCAAAATAGGCTAGAATTACTTTCAAAAGCTCTGAAGCTGAGGGTCGTGGGTTCGTTTAAACATTTTTATGTGTCTCTCTCAGATCCACTTTGGAAAGAAAAAAAAGTGTTTAATTTTGATTATATAATCATTAGCCATTATTTATTGACTGGATAATAATAAATTTAATAACAATTAAATATTGAACCTGATATTTTCAAAGTTTGACAAGATCGGCAAATATACTTTTCAGAAAATTTAGGCATACTTTGAAAACAGCGCCTCGATCATTTTAGTAATTTTTAGGTACTTTTTGTATTTTCTGATCGCAAGATCAGTAAATACATAGCTAACATCCACGGTCTAACACAAATTTTCCTAACAGACCTAACAACGCAAAGTAGCTCTCACTCAGAAGTGCTTAAAAACCAGCAATTTAAAATAAAGAATAATTTTTAATGTATGTATTTAACGAATTACAGTGCATTAAAAGTTTAGAGTAGTCAATAGAAATATGAGGTTACAATCACAAATTTCGCGGATGAATATCATTTTTACCCAATGAAAAATGTTCGGCTATTTCCGTAAAGCTTAATCAATAAAATTGCTATTTTTAGCTATGTCGATTACCCGAATACTCCAGAGCGTAGTACACAAATAAATCTGACTGTCGAGTAGTGGAATATATACATGTCGTACTGTTTTGTCGAGAAGATTTTCGCTAAATTATTTTCATCAGTGTTAAACAACAGGTTTATAGTGAAGAAAATACCTCGAAATTAGTAAGGATTACAAACACGGAATGGAAATTACAATGTATTTGTTATTATTCAAGCTACATATGTATTACTTCACCGTGGTGCAGAGGTAGCGCGCTCGTTTAGAGTGTGAGAGGCCCAAGGTTCAAATCCTAGTCGAGGCAACTTTTTTTTTGAAGTGTCTTTTTTAAGGAAGTAGCCACGATATGCAAGGATAAAATATGGCTGTCATAAAATGAAAAAGATTTTTGATGCAACTCTAGTCATGCAAAATTCCATATGTATCAATCTCAAACTGTTATAGACGCAGTCGCTGCGTAAGATTAATTATAGAATATAAAAATAAACTTATATAGGAAAATACATACAGATAGTCAGTATGATTTAGATTGCAAAGATCAGAAAATACCACAGAGGTTGCAGCCCTTTGATTGTATTTTCTGATCGCAAGATCAGTAAATACATAGCTAACATCCACGAACAGACCTAACAACGCAAAGTAGTTCTCACTCAGAACTGCTTAAAAACCAGCAATTTAAAAGAAAGAATAATTTTTAATGTAGGCATTTAACGAATTACAGTGCATTAAAAAATTAGAGTAGTCAATAGAAATATGAGTTTACAATCACAAATTTCGCGGATGAATATTTTTTTTACCCAATGAAAAATGGTCAGCTATTTCCGTAAAGCTTAATCAATAAAATTGCTATTTTTAGCTATGTCGATTACCAAATACTCCAGAGCGTAGTACACAAATAAATCTGACTGTCGAGTAGTGGAATATATACTCGTCGTACTGTTTTGTCGAGAAGATTTTCGCTAAATTATTTTCATCCGTGTTAAACAACAGGTTTATCGTGAACAAAATATCTTGAAAATAGTAAAAATTACAAACACGAAATGGAAATTCTCAAATTAGAATTACAATGTATTTGTTTTTATTCAATCTACATATGTATTACTTCACCGTGGTGCAGAGGTAGCGCGCTCGTTTAGGGTGTGAGAGGCCTGAGGTTCAAATCCTAGTCAAGGCAACTTTTTTTTGAAGTGTCTTTTTTAAGGAAGTAGCCACGATATGCAAGGATAAAGTGTGGCTGTCATAAAAAATGAGAAATGATTTTTTTGATGCAACTCGTCATGCAAAATTCCATATGTATCAATCTCAAACTGTTATAGACGCAATCGCTGCGTAAGATTAATTATAGTATATAAAAATAAATTTATACAGGAAAATACATACAGATAGTCAGTATGATTTAGATTGCAAAGATCAGAAAATACCACAGAGGTTGCAGCCCTTTGATTAAAAAATAGGCTCTGGTGTAACAAGACTTAGTGTGGGGGTAGGGAATCATATTTATGTATTTCAAGCATTTTGAATGTGAATTGTTATCTGAATGCTATCAATTTGTTTCTTAACGATATGAGTCTAATCAACGGGGGGGGGGGGGGGGGGGATTGTCTAATCAACGGGGGGATTCCATAAAGATGATATATTTAACGTTTCCTCATTTCTGAAAGCTCTTCCAATATACATGTACATGCTTAATTTTAGAAAAGCGTCCATAACGCATAAACCATATGGTAAATTTTCTTTAAATTATTACATATAGCACCTGGTGTCTTAATTAATAATTTAGGCATATAACTGACCTCGGCCCACCACACTTGTACATTCTGGGTTAGTTAGTGACACACCTTTCACTGCATGTTCGCACAACGTCAAAATGTTAGCGACATATATATAAAGTTATGGAAGCCACAGAACTACTTCCACTGATATTGCCATAATAGCGTTAATAGAGGTTGTTTGGCGATGAGGTCAACAACCTATACAACCTTAAGCTAAAAATCGATTGTCAAATCTTGCAAATATTTTTTTACGAAAGAAAGAACATTGCACATGTACATTCTTTTTCTCCTATCCTTTTATTGATAAATTTTGCATAACATGACACCCCTGCATTTAAAGCTTTCAAATAGTAGTTAGTTGTTCAAACAAATGTCCGTGTACTAGATTTTTTCCTTTACCTTGACATTTGGACGATAATTTAACGCACGAAGAACGTTACTCAAAAGATAACGTCTGTGCTTTTCAAACATTATAATATCAAGAAATATCTACAAATATAAAATAGTTGAAGTTATTGCGGATATTCATAATCGTAAGTGACATTTCTTAATTACTGTAAAAATAGATAAATTGAAGCAAAATAGAAATTGTTTAAGTGTATTCTACATGGTTTTTCGCGATATTTATAACCTTAACTATGGAAGGCCAGGACTGTCATATTTGATTTGCTGTTATGAAAGCGGACTTGCATCATAATTTAAATTTTATACTTTGGTTTTATTTGGATTTTTTTTTAACAAATTTTTTTAAAAAATTCGGGATTAATTTACTTGTAAAATTTTTCTTTTTTAAAAAACAGTCCCCCAAAACCAAAATTTTAAAATTATTCCCCTTTAAAAAACTTTGGTTTTAGATCTATTCAATTTCTCTATTTTAAATTTTATTGTCTTGTTGTTTTCATTGAGCACTGTAAAAATACAGCATGCATATTTTTTTCTGAACTTTCAATGTACAGTAAAATTGCATTTAATAAGCCTTTGTATTGTAAATGCGTCGTACGTGTATTCATTCGGAACATCTCGCCGATTTTCAATCATCATCATGGAAACAATACCTTTTTTTGAAAATATAGTAATACCACCTGACATTTGATAAGGGTCTTTGCACATTGCACAAATTGGACATCCATAGGGTATTTCAGTAATACTAAGATTAAAAAACAACAACAACAAAACAACAACAACAAAAAACAAACGATGGTTATATAGATATGTTTACGATAAGAAACAAAACGTAAAATACAAAGTTTTATTTAAAGTTTACAGAAAAAATCCCGGGAGGGCCCTTTTCCCTAGATTTTAAAAAAACCACATTTTTATTTGCCCTATAGCAATGAATAAAAGAGCTTACCCTGTTGTGGGGTATATAAATTTTTTAGGGGGTGATTGACTCTTTTTCAAAAAAAAAATCCTTACTCGTGGGTTTTAAACGATAAAGCTGATAAGATCAAACTTTTCCAAAATTTAAATTTTAAAAATTAAATGATAAATTTTTTTTTGAACATGAAAAAATTGTCCAAAATAAAAAAATTGTAAATACTGTAAATTTCGGCAAAAACGGGGAAAACGCATATAAAACTTATAAAAAAATGCAAAAAATCTGAAACGTATATTGTTTTTACTTAGTTTTTTAAAAGACCCTTGTTAAATTATGAATAATAGCAGAAATGTTCCTGTTGTGAATAAGTATCACACAAAGACGGATAGGATCGCAACTCAAAAGTGTCACTGAAAAATAGTTAACTTTTCTGTTGTTGGTTTTTATATACAGAAATGAAATTAAATATACAATTCAAATGATATAAAATAATAAGTCAGTTTGAACAGAGACCAAGGGCCATAACTCTTATATATGAATCGTTCATTTTTCCTCAAATAACAGTAATTGTGCTGTATTTTGAATTAGATTATAGTTATAGCAGGCTATATGGCCGTAAATATATTTGAACCGCGTCACGACAAAACCAACATAGTGGGTTTGCGACCAGCATGGATCCAGACTAGCCTGCGCATCCGCGCAGTCTGATCAGGATCCATGCTGTTCGCTTACCAACTCTATTACAAGTGGAGAAACTGACAGCGAACATCATGGATCCTAATCAGACTGCGCGGATGCGCAGGCTGGTCTGGATCCATGCTGGTCGCAAACCCACTATGTTGGTTTTGTCGTGACGCGGCTCATTTATGATTTTGTACATGGGAAGATGTAGGGAAAACAAAACTGATATGTTTGAATGAATAAAGGGCATTTTTTATATAATGCCTTAAAATTTTATTCAATGTAATAAAGCACATATATAAGTATTAAGTTTCCCGTAAAACATATCTGTGTGGTATATTTGGCTATATCAGAAACTTTTATTAATAACAGAAATTATAATAAAGCTCTGTGGCCATAATCAGTCAAAAACTCTTCTTAACTGTTAAGGTAATGGGGTAAATCAGTTTAACATTATTATTTTTTTATAGTTTCAGTACCCGACTTTCCAGTATGGCGTCAGAATGGTTTAAAAACATGTGCGGGTTCAGGGTGGATGACGAGGCTATCAAGAATGTCCCATACCCAACTACAGAGTTAACGATTCACGTGACCATCAAGACGATTCAAAGCTTCGGTCTTCTTGGAACCGTCTTGGTTGGTCCTATAGCCGCGGCCGTAAAGAAGGACACAAGAAATTGGACAGGCGTAAAACATAAAATGACTCGATGCGGTAGGGGCGGATTGGTTCTAGGTGTTTTTATGGGGCCTTTTATGACGTATATGAAAATTAGAAAGGAAGAAGATCCATATAAGATCTGGGACAGATGTTACAGGTTACGTCATAATCGTGGTCAAATCCTTGTCGACCAATCATCAGTGGTTGGAGGAGTAGGTGGTGCCGCCATAGGCGCAGCGACATCTAGCGGTGCTCTATTTGGCGGGCTTGTAGGAATGTCGTCGGGTATACTTGCAGCGGCAGTTTATAATAATGTTTTAAAGAAGAAAGACTAGGCGTTGCACTGACAGCATTTCCGGTGCGAAAAAGACGGCATTATACTTACTTTTGTGCCATAATAATTCAGCTTGCAATTTAAATTACCCTCCAAACGAGAAGATATGCGCACGCGCGGACACTTGATTAATCTTTTATCAAGTTTAATATAGAAAGGAGTGAGGATTGTGTTTAAAATAGTATTAAAATGTTTGATTTATATTTTAGAATAAAAAATTCTGCTTAGAGAAATGTGTACAGGGTTGAATTGAAACACAATGACCCCATTATATGAACCACAATATTTCTTCGAACCAAATAAATTTGTTTCAATCAAATATATTTTATATAACCAATATTCAATTACTCTATTCTTTGATAGACTGCCATATTAGAATAATATAGTTTATGTATATATGCCGTGTTTGGACATTGTACAAATATGTGTGAAGAATGCGTGAAATGAAGATGTAGATTTATATATATATTAATCAGGGATAAAAATTAGCATATCATGTTTATGTTCTTGTTATTGCATGTGATACTGACTCATTCAAACAGTAACATATGGTAGCAGTGAATCATACAGAAATAAGTTCAACCGTCCGATTTTCACATTAATGGATTTCAGATAATGTTCTAGCATGGTAAACTAAAGTGGAGTTGTTTTTCTGCAGGCAACTCCTCGATTGTTTTTGATGAAAACCATATTTTATACATGTATATTATCAATCCGGAACACGGCGAAATTCAGTTATAAAGCACAGATGTTTAGTAAATGAAAAGAAAAACACACCAAAAACATACAGTCTAACTAATATTTTAAGGTTTGCTCCTTCTTAAACATATATTTGCACACATGCAAAATTTATGTTATCAAATTAATGAAAATGTATTTATTTCAGCTCAATTGTGATGAAATCTTCATATATACGAGGGTCATTCATAAAAGTTCCCGGACTTGGACCATAACTTGTTAAAAAAAATCTTTATATAAAAAAATAATGAACAGCACAGGCAGTAGGAGATTGTCTTCTTTTATACAGTCATAAAATTGTTTTCAATTACATAAAAACGTGTATAATATATATAGCAACACTTTGTATAACCATTGTAAACAACTCACGGAGCACATTACGTCAAAACGACGTCGTATTTAGGCTACTATATCTTGAACTAACAGTACTTTAGTCGTATGTAGAAAACGTGCACCTGGTAGTTCTCGAACTCACGATCCCTGGGTTAAGAACTGAAAGGGACTTCACACATGATGGGACTTGAAATATTCTTTCGAGATGTAACTTGTGAGCAAAATTTTAGATCATTCGCTCACATCATTTTCCAGAATAATTATTCTAATTGTGAGAAATTACCCAAAATTGAAAAGCGTTGCTACGAATAGCACAAAAATATATTTTATATATTTTACAACAGATTTGCGGTAAACCCTAGATATAAATGTTGATTTGAGGAATGTAGAAAAATTAACATATTGTTGCCACTAACAATTACCAAGAATAAGCTTGGACCATGGCGTGTACTGTTCAGTATTTAGGGGCAAGTAATCAATATTCATAATAAAATCAGTTAGCAGTCAGACCGAAAAAACGTGAAGGTCATCAGCGTTGATTATATATCTTAGAAACTTTATTTGGGCAGGTTCATGGGCCTAAATCGCAAGAAGGTTTTAGCAGTTATATGCTGTATGTAATTGAGATAGAAAAAGGTTCAAAGGTTGTTTGTCATAAAATATATAAAGTACGCCGAGATTTGCCACAAGCACATTTAAGTGTAAAGTTCGCCTAGGCCTGCCACAAGCACCTTTAAGTGAAAAGTTCGCATAGGCTTGCCACAAGTACCTTTAAGTGTAAAGTTCGCCTAGGCTTGCCACAAGTACCTTTAACTGTAAAGTTCGCTTAGGCTTGCCACAAGTACCTTTAAGTGTAAAGTTCGCCTAGGCTTGCCACAAGTACCTTTAAGTGTAAAGTTCGCCTAGGCTTGCCACAAGTACCTTTAAGTGTAAAGTTCGCCTAGGCTTGCCACAAGTACCTTTAAGTGTAAAGTTCGCCTAGGTTTGCCGTGTAAAGCTCGCCCAGGTTTGCCACATGCACCTTTAAGTGTAAAGTTTGTCGAGGCTTGCCATAAGCACACAAAGTGGATATAAGCATTTATTAGCGATTGTTAATCATGGACAAAAATGACAAAATACAATATGAATCAATGTCTTTTTATTAGGGGCAATTGGCTTTGTGGCCACTACCACTCAACACGGGTATCGAATTGCTGCCATGACCATTTGGCATAGATCCTTAACGTGTTTGAGTTCGAGTCAGTATTTTTCAGCAATTGTCTACTATATTTGACTATAACGCTGTTTTCTTGGTTCACTATGGTGGGAGACCGCTGTTCTTTTGAAGTGTTCTCGATTTATATGATATCAGATAAAATCTTAATGGCTCAGAAATTCATATTTTTTCTTTAATTTTTTAGAAATGTGAAACATGTTTTTATTAATGTCTCGAGCATGTTGGATGTAATTATTGTTTAACGCAAAACGTTCCATAATGTATCGCAAAGGTAGCAAAATGTAAACAAAGTTGTATTATTTTTGACGTCTATACAAAATACTAATTCACTATAATTATACCAATTGCCAACAGAGCAAAAGAAGTAAAGGGCTGTTCACCTATATGGCAAATTTGTAATTTTTTTCGAAACTGTAAAAGGATACCAAAAGTTAAAAAAAAATATTGAGAAATGAAATTGCTAGCACTTCTGGGACTTAATGAGCCTTTAATATTCAGCAAATTTAAACTTAAAACCAAATGTACATGTATAGTTTTCTATATTTTTTTTAACCTGAATCGATTTTTGGGTCTTGCCGGGGCAATCTTATCAGCTTGTCTCATTTTTAAATCCAAATTAGTTTTTGGGGGGCTCAAATTCAATCCATATTAATTATATCATACCCCTATGCTGTCGGAGATAACTGGTATAAAAACTAGAACATCTTAAAATACATTTTTTCGCTCATGTACATGGTATCTTTGCACCTTTTCATAAAATGTTCTAATATTTGCTTTGCCGACGCGGTTGAAGAGTTAAAGTACATTGTATATACCTGGGTTGATAACAGGAGAAGTGTTACCTTAACATCGGTGATTTCTTAAAACAGTAAGTGATTTTAATTACATTTTTATTTTGTTTTCCTGACATTATTAACTTGAATTTAGAATTGCATACGATAGATCGTACTTATATGTAAGATCGATCTCAAGCTTAAATAAATGCTGATTTAAGAAATCTTTTTATGCATAATATTATATGTATTGGTGTCTTTTGAATATATTTAAATAGGTCAGTAACTCACGAGTTCAAAATGATGGAGCGTAGCAATGTCCAAAATTTAATTGAGATACTTCTAGATATATTTGCAATATCATTTAATTGGAAAAGATGTTTGACTTATCTTTAAAGAAAAACGGACAGTACTATTCAACTCTGTTTAAGCAGAAATGAAACTTCAATGTTTATAAACATATGACTGCGCTTATTGGACGTTTTTTTACGTTACTAAATTTAACTTTTAGCTTAACCTTGACGATGCTACGTTTTTAAGTGCAGTTCGCGTCGATTGTAAGGGGAGGTAATTAGCTAACAAATAGAACCATTTTTACGAATTAAATTGTGCCCCTTTTGTACAAATTTGTCCGACGATTCATATTGAAACTTCTTTTTTAAATCACAAATTAATACAATATTAAAGACAAGTCTTTTTAAAAAATCTCTTTTGGACATAGATTTACAACAATATGCAATTAATTTGCTTTATGTCGTTTTCTCGTAAGTTTTTCAAAATTTGCTTTGATCATCATCATCACGTTTCGGAGTAAAACGCGCAATTGCTGGGACAACTATAATGTTAAAGAGAAAGAAAATATCAGCTTACTAAATTAGAATTCAGAAGTCGAATAACCCGCGTGATGATTTACATTTACTAGTTGCAAATGACATTCTAACAATGTCATCATTGTTGTGGAATAACAAAATTAGCCATTTTTGTTGCCTGTCGTCGAGTTAATCAGGATTTTGTCGTATCCCTAACATCCTTACAGTTTTATATATTATGCTACAATTTTTTCTTTTTCAGAATAACAATGGGTGGCGAATGGATGAAGAACATGTGCGGGGCAAAACTAGATGATGAATCCATGCAGAGGGTAGCACATCCTAGACTCGAACTTACGACCCACGTAACAATAAAAACTGTTCAAAGTTTCGGCTTCATAGGTACTGTATTAGTTGGCCCTATCAATGCCGCAATTCGACCAGAAACTCGAAACTGGGCGAGTGTCCAGGAGAAAATGACCCGAGCTGGAACCAACGGCTTAATAATAGGGGCTGTCTTGGGTCCGGTATTGACATATCTAGCAACAAAGAATGAAAAAGACGGTTATAAGGTTTGGGATAGGTGCTATAGACTTCGTTATAATCGGTGCCAAGTTCGAGTTGATCGACTGTCAGTCCTCGGAGCGGCTACTGGAGCGGCTATTGCGTATGGGACGGCGCATGCAGGAGGTGTTGCGTTCGGAAGTCTTGTCGGAATGTCGTCTGGAATATTACTTGGGGCAATTATAAACGCTACGTGTGTTTAATTGATGACAAAATCTAGTATAAGACGAAGATTTGGAAATAAGACATACTAATCTAGTATGAACTACGTTTTTCAGCCTGTTAATTTTACACAATTAACTTTATGCATTTATGTTTTTTATAAATTGTGTGAAGCAAATCGGAAGATAGGTTAAACCTCAAATCAAAGTTGTTTTCTTTTAATATCGAATAATGACAAAGCACGTGAAATGCACGAAATGCCCTCATGTCGTCTGGATATCCGCAGAGCATGCTAACCATTCATTGCTTATTTGACCCGTATTTGACCTTTTCTGTCGTGACTCTTTGACTTAGCCTGACCGTGAACTTGAGTCTCCTACAACATAATTCTTGTTGTTTACAAAATGTTTCATCCGTTATAACAAAGAAAATTTATTGAATTTCCCCTACGGTGCCCAGCGTTCAAGGCCATGTTTGTTGTTATTTTTTCCTCTGCATGAAAATTGGATATAGTGGATTGTTAAAATCGATATGTGAAACTTAAGCAATTAATCAACTGTCTAAAATCAATTAAAAAAACGGGGAGCCAAAAATGAGTAATTAAAAGAACATTCACCGAGTAAACAAGTACGTTTTGTTTAAAAACATTCTAATGGTATGGGCAAATATTTCATTTGAAATAAACAAAACTCTTAACAAATTCCTATTTGTTCGTCTGTTGAAATATTTGTATTTAAAATGTCCCACGTATTTAACTTACGTCAATAATTGATCAAACGGAGCAACTGATCCATGCAAAAGGAAGTAATTAAATGAATATTTCAATTAAGTTATCCAGACAATTAAGAAAAATAACGAAGATCAATTAAGGTAATGAATTTTATGCTACTAGTAAATGAAAGTATCTTACACGTGTACGAACAAAGTTTCAATGAATTGAGCGAAAGAAGAAATCTTGAAAAAGAAAATGTATTAAAAAGTCTGTTCTGTCATACAATTGTATACTGTAAGGTTTGAAGTAAAAATACTTGTATTAAAATACATCACAGTATAAAGAAAGACAATAATTTGTTTTGACAAAGGTTGGATTAATACTAACCATGGGATATTTCGTTTCAGACGTCCTGCAAAGTCGGTGAAAAGTTCAAACTCATTCTTAATATGTTAAATGTAGATTAACAATTAAACAATCTACATGGTTCAGTCAACAAATTTGATCAGTTGTGTGTTATGTTGTATGGATGATAACAAGAGTCAAACTATTCTACCATTTAATACATGTTGTTAAGACCAGAGCTCGAGTGAGAGTTAATTGATTCCTTTGAAGAAAGTTAAATGAAAATAGTAGAATAGTTTGAATCTTGTTATCATCCATACAACATAACATTGTGTAAAATACGTTTTTGTTCATATTGAAACTCCCTATTAAAAGGGTGGTAGTGGTTTTACAGCATTGTCAGTACATACATGACTACGATGTACTTCAACATAATTATTTAGTGAGTTTGCAAATAGAAAGTGTGCTAATGGTTACAGAGGGATTTTGTTTGTTTTTTTTTATGCATGATATTGGCATATTTGGTATCAATATTGGCAGAAATGTATTGACTGCACGATGGTTTATACTTATTTGGAAATTTGATTACGTGTTAACAACTGGTTGAAAAAAAAACAGTTACAGAAGCTTAGTTGTGCATTTTGTAAATGCGTCTTTGCCCTTGGATACTTGATTTTTTTTAATGGAACAGCATTTAAATAGCGTTAAGTCATGTACGTGCAGTCTTGGAACATTTTCGTTGATCCGTAGATGAGATGAACACAACAGATACTGGTTAAAGCTCACGTAACGAGATAAAAAATACGTTACAAAATCATATTCTGCAACTTTTACTTTTCAGCCTTCCGCTATTTCAACGTAATCAATTCTAATGCTCAAATTTCAGTACAAATTAAACCATTATAATTATGTCCAATACATTTACTATTTTCGCTCTTGTATGTAAGTAACCAAGTACACAACAGAGTATAGTAACGGACAGTATTATACCGAAATACAGGTATAGAAATCTTATTTTTGTTGGTATTATTAGACGCCTTTCAAAATTACTAAAAATAGAACGCTGCATATCATTACTGACCACAGGTTAATTATCTCTGGAGGCAGAAAGCTGTCTGCTAATAGCCAAAGTTCATATAACATTTAGTTAGAAAGGAGTCAACATATGCTTAAAAATAACCATGTCTTTGGATTTAACTCAGCTGAAAATGTCGGATTATGCTTCTAAGCTGTCAGCAACTGATTTAGTTGTTTATTTAGATAAACTAACCATTTCTGCAGACAAAACACTTCCAGATCCTTACGTAATTGACAAAAAATCTTGGATAAATGATCCCAAATTATGGCCAGATATTGGCTACCCTGATATCTACAACTATTTTGTTCAAAGTAGCAATTACTACTCAAATGAGCAAATGAAATGCTACAAATCTATGGATGCCTACCAGTACTTTGTATGTGGACATGTTCAGCCAGTTCTGTTCTACGACACAGGGATTGAGGATTTTACTTATCTTATGGCTGAAGTGTTGCCAAGCCAGCGACAGGGTACAAAAAATACATTGTACAAGGCTTACCTCATATTGAGAAAAGATGGTCGGATCCACACAACCCATTGTACCTGTATGGCAGGGTATGTTCATAAGATTATAAATTTTTATTTATATGATTTATACCTATTTGTTTTATCTGAGCTCTAACACAAGGCCCATAAAAAACATTTAGCAAGAATGTTCTGGCCAATCAGTAAGATTGACAAGATTTTTGTTAATTCATCTGGAGTATTCAAAAAAGTCATATTCTTCAGTAACAGGTGTAATTTTTATGTAAACCTAATTATTTTCCTTTTAATTTACAGAGCCGGTAAAGCGTGTAGCCATGCAGCAGCCATAGCTTACAAGGTTGAGGCCGCTATCCGAATGGGTCTTAATGTCACTGCAAGCACGAGCTCACTTTGTAAATGGAATGATATGTCAAGGCGAAAGGCAGAACCAGCCCCTGTGTCGTGCATAGACTTCAAGAGGCCAAAATATGAAGATGATGTAAGGCAGCCCTTGACTAAATCTAGCACGAATATTTCCACATGTCGCACTTTGGATTTCAATGCACTAAAGCGTATCCAGCCTAATGCAGCAATATTTACTCATTTGGAAGTCAAGGTAGCACCACAGGTCCCGAAAACTATAAAAGATAGCATTAAATCATTACAGTACAACAAAATGACACCAGATGAAATACTTTCTTCCTTGAGTGAACAGCTCTCCATTGAATTAGTTTCAAACTTGGAACAGTCACAAAGTTCGCTTTGGTCAATGCATAGGGAAGGGCGAGTCACCTCAAGTAGGATGCACCGTGTCTTCACTTTGCGAGACACAACAGAAAGATCGGCAATAGTTGATGAAATATTACATCATAAACGCTTTTCTACATCAGCAACCAAATATGGTTTAGATATGGAGGCATTTGCCAGAAAAACCTACCAAAAATATCACACTATTCTTCATGACAATTGTTTTGTGTTTAGAAAGTGGATTGGTGCTAAATAAAAAATATCCTCATCTAGGTGCCTCTCCTGATGGCATTGTGCAGTGTTCTTGTTGTGGAAAGGGATGTCTGGAAATTAAATGTTTGAAGACCTTCGAGAACGGAGTGCCGCAGCCAGACAGTTTAATAGCGAAATCAAATGCCGACTATCCTATAAATGAAAATTTCGAGCTCAAAAAGACACACAAGTTTTACACTCAAGTGCAAGGGCATTTGTTAATATGCAATTTAGAATACTGTGACTTATATTTGTGGAGTAAATCTTCCAGTGTTGGTATAAGGGTATACAAAGATGATACCTTCATAGACAAAATGTTGAAAAAACTAACATTTGAGTACAAACGATATATTTTACCTGCTATTATTGAAAACATTAAATGAAAACAAGAACTGGTTTTTGTAGTATGTTTATTTTTTACACATTCCATATATACAATATTGCTTCAAACTAGCCTTTGACAATTGGGGGGAGTAAGTTATGTAAAGTCCCTATAATGGTTACTATGTCATCCAGTAGATGCACGTGGCAAAGAGGTATGTTGGACTCAAGAATGAGAAAAGTTCTCATTCGACCTATCACCCTCTCTACATGTATTCTAACATGAGAAAGTTTTCTCGATGTTTCGACGTCTTTTCCGCTCAGTTGTTTCTTACCCTTTGTAAAGGACGGAATTCTTAACACCACACCCTGTGATGCCATTTCCTCTGACAGAAGAAACCCTCTATCAGCCAAAACTTCATCTCCGTGCATAAGATTTTCCATAAACCCAGATTTTAATGTAATTTCCTTATCTGATACTCTTCCACCCCAACCAGATGAGAGAAAATTTATCGCTCCTGATGGCGATATAGATATCAGATACTTTACAGTATTGTTATGTTTGTAATTACTCCAAGTTTGAGCCCGGGCGGTAAGGTTCTTCGGGCGTTCAATGAAGATCTCAAAGCAGTCAATAATTGATACACACTTATTATAGTCCGGTTTAAATGACAAAGGCACATTTGATCTTGCAACATCTCTCTCTGGCCAGTGTATCAAAGGCTTCAAACATTTTGAAATAACTGGAATCCATACATTCAATATCCGAGACGTAGATGTTTCCGTTATTCCAAACCTATAAGAAATATCTCTGTTCAACAGTCCAAGACGTATCTTAACTAATACTAATAAAAGATGATCATGGAGTGACAGTGCTCGACTTTGTCGTTTGTTTTCTACTAGTGGAAATATTTGATCATATATCCATAAAAATAAAGCTTTTGTCAGCCCAGTGTAGAAGGCGACCATACCAGCATCCATGCTAGAAAAAGACAGTTTTAATTTACTAATTCTCTGTTCCTGCAGATATGATTTCTTCTCAAGACATTCATTTGCTTTTGTTCCCTTTTTAAGTTTCTTTTCAAGCTCTGTGACCATGGATGTTTGTCCGTCAGTAAGCAAATCACACTGAATGCCTGGAACAAAAGTAAAGAACTCATAATTAAGGTGTGTAAGCTATTCATACTAATGTATTGTAATGAAACTTACACTTGTTTAAGTCTGATTTTATGCACTTTTACCAGAAATTTTATCTAATGCTATCAATTAGATGTTTGACCAACAAGTATTATTATACATTTACCAATGTTTATGTCCAAATCAGGCTCCTGGGACTGATGCTCAGGTATGGAAACAGCGTCATCATGAGACATTCCTGTTTTCTGTCTTTTCTTTGATCTTTTGAATCTTTCCATTGTAGTAATATTTGTTCTGCTATGTCCATTCTTTCCACCTAAATTCTGATTAGGTATGAAATCAGGATGAGTTATTTCCTCACATGGCTTTCCTTAAAAGAAAAGGTATTTCGAAATGTTATTTTATTATACTATCATTATATATAACTTTAGGCAGAAATTGACAGTTACATAATTACAATTAAAAACTACTTTTATCGTGAAAAATTAAACTGAACTATATAGATATATTTACAAGAATTCTATTATGAAACAAGACATACAAAAAATTAGGCAAAAGAATTGGTCTTACCCGTTATAAAATGCATACTGCATACACGAGAACTATTTGTAGGTTGCCAGGGCTTTTGTTTTCCCGGTGTACTGCCAATTTCTAATCTTTTTAAAGCTTTTATCCATGCTTCCCTTCTCCACAATGGATATTTAGGAAATCTATGTAATGATATGTTTTTTTCTGTGCTTTGTCTATTTGAACATCCAACTGCACAACAACTATGAACCATTTTGTTTAATTAATATTCTCAATTTTCACTGAAATATCACAAAATATTCTCTAAATTTCTGAAACCGGTTGAAGGTATTCTGCTGATAATGGCTATTTATCGTTAAACAGTAAATGGCTAATTAATGTGAGACTAATTTCTCTCTGAATCATGTTCTGGAGGCTTATCAGCAAGCAGCTTTCTGCCTCCACTAAATAATGCATTAACGACCTGAAATTGACCTCAGATTTTGCAAGGCGTCTTATAACTGTCAAGGCTATGCGGCGACTGTGGAGGAAGACCTCAGGTGCTCATCCGTGACCTTTAGTGTGTACACATTGACTGACGTGGTAACAAAGACAAAATAATGATAATAAATGCTGCCATATCAAAGTTTTCTTCGTTTTAGACCTGCAAGGTGAACAAAAATCTACAAGCCTTAGTTTCTCCTATCTATATGCCCAGCAGATTTACCTCCCTTGTATTAAATAATAATTCAAAACCTTAAAAGTGAACCTCACATAAATTAGTATTTCTTTTAAATAAAACAAATGCGCATTATTCTAAATTTATTGTACACGTTGTCTTGTTGTTGTTGTATAACAGAATATTAACATTTTATATCTTCATTCACATATCTTAATAATATAAATGATAATAATGTTTAAATAATGACAAATCATACTGACACTCATTCATTTATTATTTACTTGCATGTGAATGTGTATACATGTATATACATCTATTTGTTGGGTCACTGTCAACCTTTACATGTAGAAGGCCTCAGCTGCGGCTCTGTGTATTTGTTTAGGCATCAGCCGAGTTAAACCATTGACCTTTAGTAAGTTAGCTGGTTAGCTTTCCTCATGCGACAAAATTCTGCACTCGCTGGCAGGATTCAAACCCGCGACAGTAAATGTCATGACAATTCAAAACTACTCCGTCTTGGACGCTCTATTGACACTTTTATGGTCATATGAGGACGGTGAATGCCTAAATATCTTATTTGATAACACGGTCAGCATTATGGTAGACTACTAGATTAGACGAGTATGTTCCACAAAGTTTTATTAACATTACTTCCATGAAAAGAATGTCACCATTAACACTTCCTTAGTTCAACATTTTATCTTCCACAAAGCCACGATAACATTAAACTTAAGCAAAAATGTCACAGGCAGCAGTAAGTGGTTCTTACTGAAGTCCCCCGTCATCAACTACTTTCTTGGCCAATATACCTTTCATCGTACTCATGTAATTTACTTGGTATTTTCTCAAAACGATAATACAAATAATAAACATATACTAGTATTCAGTAGAACTCCTCCATTTCTGACATGTGGCAAAGTTGTTAGTAACTTATTGTAGAGATTCGTGCATCTCCATTCTTAGTGTTTCCAGCTTCTTTGGCGGTAAAATTATGTAATATTTAGCATCATATATTACATGTATCGTTATATATGATTGCCCTATGACATGCAAGGAAACCACAACTTGCGCTATGACGAGTTGAACACATAACGTCTTTATGGTAAAGTAGATACTACCAAACTTTTTCATGTACAGAACATTAAAATATTTATATTAATGAATTTTTTTTTAAAGAACAACAAATAGCAAAATAACTTTTCATAAACAAAATTTTATTTTGAAGAGAAATAATAACAGAGTTTATATATATACAGCATATTACCCCAACATAAAAGCAGTTGGCAGTCATGCATCACTTTGCAGATAATAAATATATACATGTTAATGTAAACAAAATAATTATAAAAGATAGTAATTTCAAGCTTAATTTTGCTAAAAAAATAAGTGTGTACCGATCTTATTTAATCTTCAAACAACATTTAATTTTAGAATTAACGGCACACCCTAACGTTAGCAATAGAATTATATTAAAATAATTTAATGCCAAAGATATCAGCGCTTAGCCAGTTAATAAAGAAAAAATAGTAATGTGCATGCACTTAAAACTTGAAATTAGCATCTTAAAAATTTTTCAACAACATAATTTCATTGTCACCAAATAGTTCATTGCTTCAAATTTCAATCAATAAAAAAATGAAGAAAAAAAGCCTATATCACAATGTTACTTGTATTACATAATAAAGTCATTGATAGATTATATAAAAAATAATACTGTTTTAATTTCAATTATATCATGCATTTATAAACTAAATCAATTTAAAAAAAAAATATAATGAAATTTCATTTTTTGGTTATAATTGATATAAAAAATGCCTTTAAAAAAAGAAAAAAATGGTTATTTTCAAAAAAGTGAATTCCATCTTTTTTGCATTCAGTTTTAAAGTATTACATATCTAACTTATATAAATAACATTTTCAGATTTAAGAAGAAATAAATAACAACAGTGATTTTTATAATGTATGCATAATAAATTCTGTAACAAAAAGGAAAGGGAAATAGAAAAAAATAATACTAATTCATCAATGATTAAATTAATTTTAGACCAACTTATTTGTTATTCATTGCCATGCATCAATGATTACATCGCAGTAAGAAGGTTTCTTTATGTATCGATGTGGAGTCACAAAGTTTATTGGTTCAGATACCATCGCTGTATTGCTTTAAAGCTAGCCAATTGCTGCATAACATCACATCCAGAAGTAGTCAGCCACTACGAAAACTAAACAAAAAAAAAAAAAAAAAGTTTAAAAAAAGATCAGTTCAGTTACGTACATGTAAATTGTAACTATCTGTTTTGATTTCCCCTCAGTTTTGTTTTTCTCCTTTTTTTCATTTTTTTTTTCAAAATGAGTTTATAACTCATTTTTTACTGAACTGATCTTGCATACTTACCATTTACCTACACGGAAAACAAAGATGTCCATGATTCTTGTCATGTATGTGCTTCCCGAGTGTATGTTACATTTCTTAAGTTTGAGTGCTTTTCAACCATCTTGAATCCCACTATTCACCTCTACGTGAACTAAAAATGTAGAAAAAGCTATCAAAACTTTAGCCTTTTCCATATCTTGGAAAATGGATAAAAATTTTGATAGCTTTGCAAAAAAAAATAATCTAATTATCCGCAAGCCTTTATCATTTTCAAGACTTGACAACTTGGAGTAACTCTTCCATATTCAAACCGAGGAGGTTACAATGCCGTAATATCGCCTGAATTGTCTCCCTTCCTTGGTTGCCTTGCGTCATCTCGTACATCAGAAACTGAAAGGCAAAAATGTTATTTCCTTCTTTTAACAATCTGACATTATAAGGAATTTATTCAACATGTACTTTAATCCATTCAAGACAGCATACATACTTCAGCAATATAAAACTTTTTTTTTTCTTATTTATTGTCTTAAAAATGAAAACCACACAAATAGTGTTTTCTGACATAAGTGTTTCTGACATAATTCTTGAGATAAAACTTTTTGTGTTTCCTGACATAATTCTTGAGATAAAAAGCAGAAAAATTGTTATTTTGAAATTTCAAAATGAACGTGTATATGTTAATGCTAATTTTACAGAAATTCAAAACTTACTTTCAGAAAGTTCTCCAAACAATGGAACAATTTTCTCAAATAACAAAACATAGAAAATACTCTAAAAATGAGTAAAAATCTTCTTTGTAAAAACATTCCTAAATTTGAAATCTATATATTTTAAATATGTTTTAAATTACAAAACTACGCCTCTTTTTATGTTAACTTTAATTATCGAAAATTATTTGTATGCAATTATTGGATGGTTAAAAGTTATCAATCTAATAATTTTAATTAAAAGATGAAAGTAAACAATTTAAGTAAAGAAACACATAAACAAGCACACACTAACATATATTTCTATATGAATACCGACCAAAATTCTTTTTTATTTCAAATTGGTGCATTACGTCCATAGCACAATATATCCTTATATATTATAATTATATATGTATCTTGTCTATGATTAAAATTCTGTACCTTGTCCAATGATGTTACTGTTAATGCTTGAAGATGACAGCGATAATTTTCATGTAAAACCTAATGTGCTACATCATGTGGTGTAAAATGCAAGTATTTATGTCTTCAATACCAATAAAAATCTATTTTTTTACGCATTTTTGTTGTTTATTTTTCTCGATTGATTAATGGAAACAAGTGTGTTGTAAACGGTACTTTTGCTATAATTGGCGTATGTTCAAAGTTGAATAGTTGTCTTCTATCACTATATTCAGATTTCGATTATTCGAACCCATCGATTATTCGAAGTAAATTTTCAGTCCCCAGCGATTTGATTAATTGAGGTTGGACTGTATTCTTTTTCAGAATTCAAAAAAAACAAAAAAAAAAGAAGTTTTTTTTAGCAAATATTTAGCTTCAGACACTTTAAAGTGAGGACAACATGTGTACAGACTACATGTATTGTACAAATGAGCCACGTCATGACAAAACCAACATAGTGTGTTTGCTACCAGCATGGATCCAGACCAGCCTGCGGATCAGGATCCATGCTGTCAGTTTCTCTACTTGTAACAGAGTTGGTAAGCGAACAGCATGGATCCTGATCAGACTGCGCGGATGCGCAGGCTGGTCTGGATCTATTCTGGTCGCAAACCCACTATGTTGGTTTTGTCGTGACACGGCTCAAATAGATACTGACAATAGCTGTTTCACCATTGTTTATTGTTAATTTAGATGTATTTTTACGAAAACAGATAAAAATAATAAGATGTTACATTTTTCCAGAGATTCACGCTGTATGGCACTGCCTGTACTCCTCTACGAAATAATTTCTCTATCTGAAATCATAATATAGATACAACACTTTATAAATGTCAAACTTATATATATATATTTGTTTACAATCATAAGGTAAAAAAAATCCAAAAATATTCTCAATCTTTAAGACCATTATGTATATGCCAGCAGTATACAGCCAGACATGTTATACTGTACACCTTTTCATTTTACCCATACTTTGATCAGATATATGCTCAATTCCAGTATTTTTAAAAAAACATCTTTTATTGGGTCTTATGTTGCACTAACACAGTAGAGATCATGTTGCGACTTTCCAGCTTTACTGGTGAAGGTACTTATTTCTGGCACAAATGGGCATCTGAGTAGAACCACTGATGTACTGTAGGCTAGCTTGATAGCTTTCTCACATGTAAGAATCCGAACACACTTGCATGACTTGAACCTCCAGCAGTGACAGGCATGTGCTTTAAAGTCAACGACCTTATCCACACGGTCACAGAAGTCCCTTGTATTTCAAATCATATTCCTAAAATTCATACATGATTATTAACTAACCTGGGTATGTGACCTCTGTTTAATCGCTAAAGTTGTTGCACTGAAAACATAGTTATCTCAAATTATAATACACTCTTACAAAAATGGATGTATTTGCTTTCAAAAATCATTTGTCAAAAGAGTATAGCATAAAAAGATTTTTGCCATTTAATTGTGTACTGAATGAAATCTGAGGGCCTTAATATAAATATGGTAAAAAATTATACTTGCGACCTGAAACAATGTTGATATTCTTTGTTGCTCTTGGACCTTATAGAAAACTGACACCTATTTTATTAAACTATTAAAGACCAGACTATTGACCACAGTAACATCTTGTAACTTATTTACGAACCTTAATACAATTTCAAAAGGTGAAGTTTAAAGTACACATTTTCCTATCAGCTATTTATCACCAAAAGTTAAATTCAAACTAAAAACTGTTGGAAAAAAGGACCATTATCTACTCATATTGCCAAAGAGTTATTTAAAACCTGAGTAAAAAGTCCACATAGGTTTATGTTTAAATAAGGATAAAAATGTTATTACAGTTTCCAGATGTGAGCATTGTGGGTTCCGTCACACAAGAGAGGGTAACACAGACTGAGGGCTTGCTGGTCACTGCCTTGTCTCAGGTACTCTTCACACAACCTGATTATACATATAAACATAGAATAACATCACATAAATCTTATTATCCCTTTTCTCCATAGATCAGCCTGCACGGATAGCCTGCACAAACATCTGTGCAGTCTGATTAAATCTCCACTGTTCGCTTTTCATTCAGAAATATTTTTATGAGTATAAAAGCAAAAAGTGGATATTCTGATCAGACTGTATGAATGTGTAGGCTGATCTGGATATGCACAGGTCACATATGTGTTAAAACACATATCTATGGGGTAAAGGGTTATACAATAATGTACAATACAGATTACTTTAAACAAAGGGGTTACAGTCTGAGAGATCAGCACAGTATCTAGATAATATCTGGTCTTGATGTTATAAAACTTTTCCCGGAGATCTGTCTCAAATCTCTGCATTTTTATTGGTCACTTCATGCATATTCTATGCTTATTTCTGACCAATCAAAACCCTGAGATCTGAGTTTGAAATTAGGTAACCTTTTCTCATAACCTATGACCCAGGACTGTTAAAAGTTGAGATAATAAAATGTAAGTCTGTCAATTAGCATATCTGATTTTTAATGACACTTGATTACAACTGATTATTTTGCATTAGTAAAACCATTATGCAAGTTCTTTTTAGGTTATGCAAGTTCTTTTTAGGTACATTATGCATGTAGTTATTATTAAGCAAAGTACAGTTTAACCTGTATCCTGCTAAAACCAAAAGTGATTAGCCCTTGCCGCTAGTATAGAGCCAGGTTCTATACTGTTGGATGGCTTACTTTAATATTTGAGCCGTGCCATGACAAAACCAACATAATGGGTTTGCGACCAGCATGGATCCAGACCAGCCTGCGCATCTGCGCAGTCTGATAAGGATCCATGCTGTTCGCTTACAAACCATATAACAAGAAGAGAAACTGATATCGAACAGCATGGATCCTAATCAGACTGCGTGGATGCGCAGGCTGGTCTGGATCCATGCTGGTCGCAAACCCATTATGTTGGTTTTGTCATGACAGGGCTCATTTGATCTTGATATCCCTGATTTCATATTGAGCAGTACTAAAAATTGAAGCCAAGCTAATCCTGATTCAAGAATATCAGCGGATTAATGCTTTAATAGAATATTTCAAATTGTTCGACACATTCTCCCAAACTGCAAAAAAAACCCTCATTTTTTATTAATCATAATCTATCAATTTCTGGGAGAAAGAGGAGAGGCATAATCACCTTAACACCAGCTTGACGTTGTTTGGCATAATGTTCACAATACGTTCCAAGGTCAAGGTCTGTTGCTCTGGTAACATGTAACACAAATAACCTTCTATCACTTTATTAACTGGCCCATAGTCTAAAACATGTTCCATGTTCCAGTGCTCAAGTGGCAGTTTTTTCGGCATGGTGACAATACATCGATGAAACAAATAATTAAGCCGCCTCTGTTCTGTTGCTTGTTGCGTAATGTCTTTCACACAGTTTTGTAACTGCCTGTACTGGAAACCAAGGTATCTGAAAATGATCATACTGATTTCTTTTTGTTTGTTATTTAGTGAAAATTTCAAAATATTTACTGACAGAATACCAAACAGTGCAGACTATGATCTGGCGGCACAGATGTACTGACTAAACTTAGTCTGCACTGGTTGCATGGGTGGAATCTTTGCCACCAGTAGGCTAATGGTTAGGTTAATTATTCATTTACACTGGATCATTGGTCACATTCAAATTTGATAAATTCATACAGTAAAATAAGTGCTACATGATAAAAAGTCAAATACATTAATCAACAAAGATGCTTGTGAAAAGTATGTATTTACTTTTACTCAAAATCTTACTTATTAAATCTAGTTTACTTACCTTGAATCGAGTCACTTACCCTAACCATATTTTACCAGTATCTCTAGCATTTATCACAGATCCTAATGCAGTCTCATACATTTCTATCACAGTGGCGTAATTCTTTCTCTGTTCAAGAAACAAACTGAAACACAGAGATATAACACAGACAGTATATGAAACATTGTTCCTACATGGTTCCATATAACACAGACAGTATATGAAACATTGTTCCTACATGGTTCCATATAACACAGACAGTATATGAAACATTGTTCCTACATGGTTCCATATAACACACACAGTATATGAAACTTGTTCCTACATGGTTCCATATAACACACACAGTATACGAAACATTGTTCCTACATGGTTCCATATACATTGTAATACACACAGTATACAAAACATTGTTCCTACATGGTTCCATATAACACACACAGTATATGTAACATTGTTCCCAGATGGTTCTAAAAGAAGGTAAACTTTTACCTTCACTAGTAAATCATTTTATTTAGGAAAATGTTAGATAATCTTCAGTGAAGGATAATTGTAGTATCATCTAAACACTATCAATAAATGTAAACTAGGGGGGGTGGTGGCCTAGTGGTAAAGGTGTCTGCCTCTCTACCCAGGGATCATGGGTTCGAGCCCTAATCAGATCACGACCATGTTACTATATGACACCAGTACTGGTCAGACTAGAAAGTGATTAATATAAGCTGCAAGAACCTGTTTTGCAATCCAGCTTAGATAAATATGTTTAAACCAAACTATCAACAATAATCTTTCTCTTACTTAAAAACCTTTAACTTGCTTATTTTGTATAACTGACTTGACTTGTACTGGATTTAAGAATGCTAAATGCTCAAGGAATATTTTAGTATCAAAGTACCAACAGTATAGAGAACAAGTCTGACTATATAGATGGCATAAGTCACTCATTATTACAATTACACTCAACTCCAACAGTTTAGATATTCTAGAGATCTAAAAATCAGCTCTAGATACAGATTAAAAGCCAAAGAAAAAAAATTGAACCAAAAAGCCAGAGAAAATAAACAACATACTGAATTAAGCTCTGCTTAGGGAAAAAAAACTTATTTAAATCTAGATTATTTACCTCTTTTTCGTATCATTATCTCACATAATCAAAATTTTACCTGAGTAATAAATAAAATAAATAATTTTCAATGAAACCGCAATTATGCATCAAAACTAACTTCATTATCATAATTGTTTAACAAAAGTAGAGCCATTAAAACTAAAAAGCATGACAAAATCATAAACAATAAATGAGCCTTGTCACGACAAAACCAACAAAGTGCGTTTGCGACCAGCATGGATCCAGACCAGCCTGCGCATCCGCGCAGTCTGATCAGGATCCATGCTGTTCGCTTACAAACCCTATAACAAGTAGAGAAACTGATAGCGAACAGCATGGATCCTGATCAGACTGCGCGGATGCGCAGGCTGGTCTGGATCCATGCTGGTCGCAAACCCATTATGTTGGTTTTGTCGTGACGCGGCTCAAATAATGAACGGTAATCACAACTAAATTTCTGTTTCCTTCAATTTAAATAATGCTCCAGAAACTCTAACTAAAACAGAGATGATATTACCAATAGTTAAGCCAGATATCTGTTTGCTGTTGAGAGATGAGATCCTTCGAGACTTCTTCCTTCATTGGCGGAGGAGTGTAACCCAGAGGTAACGTCTGATTCAATAACACACTGTAAATATAACATAACAATATCTCCTCATCTCTCTCAAAATCAATATCATTTAAAATCAATATCGTAACTTGTTTGATTTTCTGGTGTTTACACCGATTTTAACACAGGTATTTGGTCATATCTTGGTAGACCATCCTCAAACTAACCAACTTTCCTGGATAACTAACCAGTAATTACAAATTCCTCCCTAAAGTGACCAATTACTAATCCCATATGATTTTGAATCAGTGTTGAGAGACAAATGACCATTGAGACACAAAATATTGTAAGATTTAAATAAACTACTATAGCTGATTATAATGATTCATTTTTTTCCATCATCTACAGATTATCAAATATAAAACAGCATTCTCACACATACTGTATTCGGACCATTTGCCGGACAAAAAAACAAATATTTTTTGCCATTGCTAATATATAATAAACAATTAAAGAAAAAATTTCAATAACAATTTTGAAATTTCAGCAATTCTTTTTAAAAGCCCAAGATGGTTTTGCACGACACCTCACATATTCTAAAAGATGAAAAAATTTCACAATCATGTATTTAGGCTTGAAATAACTGAACAGTTCATTATACATGTACTATCAGTTCCTTGTTATTTTTCTTTTTCTTTTATTTTATAATCAACTGTATAATTGACATTACGATTTCAGAAATCAGAGTCTGTATTTCATATTCAACTAAAATTTCAACAAATTGTTATCTGGCTTTTGGGGGTGTCTTCTTAAAAAGTTTTTACTGTATAACTTACCAGTACAGTGAGAGAGGATCTGGTAAAGTATTGTCACCAAGTATAAAATATCCCAGTGGGCAATTCTCCAGACATTTTGTTGTAAATTCAGCATTCTATAAATAGAAAATTAGCATTTTACAGGAAATGTTATATACATAATTATTGTGGTAATTAAATATTGTTAATAATGAATATAGGATTTTCAATACTTATCTGTAATTTTATAATCATATAATCAGAATTCTTTTCCTTTGATGAGAGTTCTTTTCTATTTACCAAGCAAACTTAGAATTATTTTGTTAACATTTTTTATTAACACTTTACGCATACAGCAACTGGAAATAAACAGGCTCAAATAACAGTGTGTAATATTTTACATCTTACCATGCTTCTAAGCACTCAAAGACATTGATCAAATCTTTCAAATCAGAATAACATGAAAGACTAATTGCTTAGTAGCTTATATATGGGGAATACAAAATAAATACAGTGTTACTTACATGAGACATTCCAAACTGAGCGGCTATGTTGAACACTCTGGCAGACAATGGATTCACTTCTAAGGCATCATTGAACACCTGCCACATAAAATTACTTTTCATTACAATAAAGAGGTAACAAAAGGAGATAAGTTGTTAGTTTAGCTCTGGTTTTAACAGTATTTTAGTCAAATATCAACTAGCAGAAACTTAACGAAATTCCCTGGATTCTACACCAGAACTAGCTAATTTCCTTAACCTTTCAAATTCTTCGAAAAGTGAAATAGCTGTGAAGAATAATTTGCACAGACTTAAAATGGTCTCTGAAATATATATTCTATGCTATGCATTTGGCTTTATCCTGCAAAAACATTTGTAGAGCAAATACTGCCGAGTTATTCAGACAGACTTTTCATTGGATAATTGTGACGTTTTATAAACTATATATAAAACTGCTATCAATATATGAAGTAAATTCCTTTTCTCTCTCTCCGTTACATAAAGATTGGTATATTATAAATCCATGATAAAGGTTCTTGACAGGTTATATGGCCGTATATACACAGTTGTTTGCAATATAACCTTTGCCAAGCACCTTGGGTTATATATGCAAATAACCATTTATATAGGGTCATATTTTCTGTCAAAATCTTATAACTAATAATATAATTAATTTTTTGCTGTGTTACTTACAATATTATCAACAATAACTAAATAACATATTTTTACCCACCTGAATAGTGGCATCTATATCACCATTCTCAGCATATAGATTAGCTACAATAAGCCAGATATCTATCAGAGATTGATCCTTCTGTAACAAATCTCTACATACAGACAATATCTCCTCCAATCTGGTAATATAACAAACATGTAAGGTAGAAAGTGTTGATCAAATTGAGGAGTAATATACATAATGGCCTGAGCAAACTGGATTAAGATTTGTGACAGATGTTTTTAATGTTTATTGGGTGCTAACGGAAGATCTTTTAAGGCAGCATTTTTTTATTTCACATTTCTATGGCTACATAAATACTACCGAAAAATGCTGATTCCCGACCTTTCATTTAAAGAGAAAAACTTTGGACATGGATATGTTTTTAAAGTATGATCCTTATTTTAATGCATCAAAATCAAGTTTATTTTGTACTATAATGATTCAATATAAATCTAATATAAACAAGATGATGGCCCTGAGGTCGCTCACCTGTATATAGGCCCCCGAAGCGGGGCCAGTTTAAACCCCAGGGCTTTTATTTGAACAAACTTTGAATTAAGACACCCATTAGAAGATGTTTCATGATGTTAAGTTTTTGCTATACACATATAAGGAAAAACAATGACCTCCCCCCCTGGCAGAGTTAATTTTAACCCAAGGGCTTTTATTTGTACAAACTTGGTAGACACCCATAAAAAGATGTTTCATGCTAAACATCTAAGCTTTAGCTCATTGGGTTTTTTAAAAGAAGATTTTTTAAGGTTTTACTATACACATATAGTTAAAAACAATGATACCCCTGGGGCTGGGCCAGTTTTGACCCCAGGGCTTTTATTTGAACAAACTTTGTAGACACTTATTAGAAGATGTTTCATGCTTAATATCTAAACTCTAGCTATTTGGGTTTTTTCAAAGAAGATTTTTTAAGTTTTTGCTATACACATATAAGGAAATCAATGACCCCCGGGGCGGGGCCAATTTTGACCCCAGGGCTTTAATTTGACAAACTTTGTAGACACTCACTAGAAGATGTTTCATGCTTAATATCTAAACTCTAGCTATTTGGGATTTTTTCAAAGAAGGTTTTTTAAGTTTTTGCTATACACATATAAGGAAAATCAATGACCCCCGGGGCGGGGCCAATTTTGACCCCAGGGCTTTTATTTAAACAAACTTAGTAGACAGCCATTAGAACATGTTTCATGCTAAATATCTTAGCTCTAGCTCTTTGAGTTCTTTAAAAGAAGATTTTTTAAGTTTTTACTATATGCATATAGGGAAAATCAATGACCCCCCTGGTGCGGGGCCAATTTTGACCCCAGGGCTTTTATTTAAACAAACTTAGTAGACAGCCATTAGAACATGTTTCATGCTAAATATCTTAGCTCTAGCTCTTTGAGTTCTTTAAAAGAAGATTTTTTAAGTTTTTACTATATGCATATAGGGAAAATCAATGACCCCCTGGGGCGGGGCCAATTTTGACCCCCGGGCTTTTATTTGAACAAACTTGGTAGACACTCATTAGAAGATGTTTCATGCCAAATATCTAAGCTCTAGCTCTTTGGGTTCTTTAAAAGAAGATTTTTTAAGTTTTTACTATATGCATATAGGGAAAATCAATGACCCCCTGGTGCGGGGCCAATTTTGACCCCAGGGCTTTTATTTGAACAAACTTGGTAGACACTCATTAGAAGATGTTTCATGCCAAATATCTAAGCTCTAGCTCTTATGGTTCTTTAAAAGAAGATATTTAAAGTTTTTTCTTTCGGTTGCCATGGCAACCAGAGTTCTGCATGGAATTAAATTCTTTGAACAATTTCTAAAGGTGACCACCAAAGGGACATTCCTGTGAAGTTTGGATGAAATTGGCTTAGTGGTTTATGAGGAGATGTCATTTGAAGCAAAAGTTTACGGACAGACGGATGCCGGACGAAAAGCGATCACAAAAGCTCACCCTGTCGGTTTGTGACAGGTGAGCTAAAAATAAAATTCATGTGATTAGATTTGTTTTATTTATTTATAACAAATATTTAAACTGTTAAAGTACCTATGTTTATTTGCAATGTTCCATCACACAGTTATGTATGCATCACACAGTTATGTATGTTAAGTCACAATGGTATGTAGATGGTATTTAAATTTTAATTTTCTTTGAGACTGTATTGAGAGACTCCCTGTCATATGTGACCTTTTTCTGAAGGTCCCTTGGAAAGTCACATATGACAGTCTCGACTGTACTGTCCATTTATTGAGTACAGTAAGTTACAACAATACTGAATACACAAAATTAAAACAGCATTGAGTGCTTTAAATGTGTATTTTTATCCTTTACCTGATCTTTTTGCAAATTTAAAGGGCTAGTGATGAATCTGGAACTATCCATTGTTAATGTAAAGGGTTTTCAAATGTAATAAGTACAATGGGCACAGCTTAATGCTTATCAAATGATCAAAATTTTAATATTAAATCTCCATAAACTGTTGAAAATAACATACACATGTACAAAGAAGATTCTCAATAAACACATTAAAACATTTTATTAGATTTATCAAAACTAAAACAAACTACACCAAATAAAGAACCCTAGAATTACTATAACGACCTTCTTTGTAATAAAAAAACCACATACCGATTTTGGCACTGCAGGAGCAGTATGATATTTTTATACAATATAAGGCCTTCCTTGAGCGAGGTTGGACGTTTTGATTCCTCATTTGTTATACACACACTAACAGCTTCTTGTAGAAGCGCCATCTGCTGGTCCCTAGTAAAACCACCACTAGGTGGCCGCTTCCATAGTAGCACCAGATCATTCTGAAATTACCAATATGTTTTTTACTATTAAATTCCATTATCCCTAACACTGCTAAATTTGTACAATAGACTTGCTCAATTTTGAATTTGGAACAGTTCATTACTGTTTTAAGGGGCTTAAATACCAAAAGTCTAAACCTGTGCATCAGGCAGTCTGTTCAAACTACCGAAATAACCAGGTTTGCCAGATTCCCTACAGCTGGCACAGGCATCTGATTATTGGCCTTTACCATTTAAAGAGTAAAAGACCTATCTTTATCCAGTCATGTATCAGGCAGCACAATTAATCTTGCAGACACCTTGCACATCCTTTGCCCTTTTATTATACAACAAGACATAGGTTTTTTTTAATATTATTCAACAAGACATAGGTTTTTTAAATCAGGCATAATATCAACTGAAAGTATTCTCTCTATACTGCTTTATCTGTGGGAAAATATAAATGTTTAAACATTTAATATGATGCAGTAACAACTGATAATTTTAACGTATCATAATTTGAAAAGGAATATATGCTTGAAATTTGAATATCACATCAAACCTTGAATTCCACAAGAAAATAAATTATTCCATCCATATCTTACCTTGTTAATTATTTTCCCAGATAAATTACTATCCCACAATGCATCAGGTAAATGTTGCCATGACAACACATGTATATAACACAACCAAAGTATACAGCGATCCAGCACTGTAAGATTTGATTGACAAGAAGCTTTACCCTCACTCTTCACAAAATACCCCTGTAATATTAAAAATATGTCAGCTTTAATACATATAGCTTAACAACATAAATGAATGGTCACATGGCCGATTGGTTAACTAGTAATTTCAAGATCGCTAGCTGGATGGGTTCAAATCCAGTCAGGGGCAAGTGTTGTTTCCTTGAGCAAGAAACTTAACACTCATTGCTTAGTTCTGGTTGGTTCCAGGAACGGATTCGAAAGTTTGTCTATAAGCTTATAGCTTCCTACACAATCAAACTAAAATAAATTCTGTATAATCAAACATAAATGAGGAAAAGGAAGTGAAAACAGTTGTGTAAAACAGTGTAAAGCTATTCACTAATATAAATATACATCAAACTATTCACTACTCTAACAATTAACATAGATAAAACTATTCAATACTCACAAAATAGGCTAATAAAGGCATTGACTCAATTACAAGAACAAGCCAAAGTATACATTTTGATGTAAAGATTTTTTTTCCACTTCATATAGTAGCTGAGACAAACTGATAATTCAACATTTATTAAGTGTTTTCAGAGAGGAAAAAGCCTTCAAGAAATATACTTGTTTGTATTTTACCTGTAATATATTTTTGGAATACTGTAGTTTTCCTGCCATGATAGATAGATGAGTTCTGTACAACATCACCTCCAGCAAATGATGTGATATGGTAGGACTGATATCATCTTTGGCTTGTATAGAACACAGGTATTCTATGATTTCACCGCAAACTTCATTACGGTCTGTGTATGATACCAGACTGTGTAGATACTGGAGGTAAACATAAATAAATATTTCATTATTTAGAAACGCTCACTGTCATGTCAACACTATCAACGTCACATGGTGAGGTTCAAACTTTTCCGGTGGAGGTAAACATTAGCTGCCCATCCAAGCATTGCTTCAGACACATAAACACATATAATTAACTACTGAAGTCGAACCACAGACTTTCCATAAGCTGCTGGACAGCTTCCTAACTTGAAAGATTTAAAAGTCCCTTTCGGGACTCCTACAGTGGCAATGACTTTGTCACTTTATGTAATGAACTTTTCCTGCCTTATCTCAGAAATTGTCATTTGTTAGTTTAATCATATTTTATTTGTCAATATAAATATACATATTACAGTTTACAATATATACTAAGCATAACAAAATTTAATATTCTTTCAAAATGGGATTAGAATGGAAGACAAAATCTTACAAAAGTCTTCTCTTTTTTGTTAACTTTATGAGGTTTCCATACAAATAAAACCCTACTAAAATTGAGCTGGCAATCAGATTGTATGAATGTACAGCCTGACCTGACTCCATACTGGATGCACTGGCAATTCAAGATTTTTGCTGACATATTACTGCTGTACCCTGGTGGCTAGTTAAAAAGATCACATATATAGAAGCTGAAATTTACTGTACCTTCCACCATATCTCAAAGCTGGGGGCATACTGTAGTGCCATCTGACAGAGATCGGAGAAGTCTGAGGCTTCTTTGTGCCGTGCATACAACGTTAAATACTCTAACCATAATACTGAACTGTCTTTGTTTGATTCTAGTCCTCTAGCTAAAACATTCAGAGCTTCCTCTAAACACGACTCTGATGATCTGTAAATATAATTAAACATCTGATAAGAGAGGTTATTTTCAGAGAAGAACTGTTGATTTTGTTAAAGAATGATCTTTGTAGAGATTAAAACCATATTTAAATGTGTTACGTTTAATAACTTCTCCCAGAAGAGAAAAATTCTGAGTCCCATTAGAATAAAACACTTCTGAGAAGTAATATATTGAAATGGAACAGTACTGCAAATAATTGGAGTGACTTTTTATAATATCATTACTTGAAAGTTTAAAAATAAAGCACCTATTGAGGCTCATTCAATACATTGCCCTTTTTGATTTATTAAAATGTGTGTTACTAACAAAACTATAATTTGTCAATATATTGTCTACAAACTTACAAAACCAGTTCATATACTTATTAAACAAATTTCAAATGTATATATCCAGTGCCTATAGGGTAAGCATTAACACTTACAGCTGAGAGCTATGTAGTTTATTGTGAGCAAGTTTCAGCCAAAGCTGTGTATCTGTCGGGGTGGCCAGCACTGCAGACTCCAGGTCTTGAACTTCTGACCCACCATCCTCGCTGAAGAAGTACCTTCGATCTTCACTCTGTATCACTGTATCTTCCGGTCGGGACTGGACCGGTGCAAGAAACTGGAATGCTGTAAAGGTATTAAATAAAGATTAGAAGACTTATAATTAAATATCATCTATAATTAAAGAATCATTATGCTAATTACCTACTCAACCATTTGTAACATTTCTAGGAAAGTGGCATTATTTCTTCAAGGGTTACATAAAATGGACTAATTTAAGATTTCTTTAATTAATTAGCATATTTAACCATTTTTTTTCCAGAAAAAAATGATTCAAATAGATGTGTGAAGCCAATGCCACACCCAACACTCACATTAAAATTTAGTAGAACTCTTTCCCTAATAAATTTCTATAATAGACCTGTCCTAAAACAAGAGGGCCATGATGGCCCTAGATCGCTCACCTGACTTATCAAACTCATCCAAACAATTACCTAGACAAGCATTCTGACCAAGTCTCATGACAGGTGAGTCAAAAATGTGACCACTACAGTATTAACAAGGATTATCCATATTTGAGCAGTGCGACCTAGTTTTTTACCCAGGTGACACATATTCAAACTTGACCTAGAAATCCTCAAAACAAACTTTCAGACCAATTTCCAGGATACTTGGATCAAAACAGTAGCAACTAGAGAGTTAACAAGATTTTTCTATTTTTAGCTCCAGTGACCTAGTTTCACATGCGATTTTGAACTCATCCAAGCAATTACCTAGACAAGCATCCTGACCAAGTTTGATGATAATTGAGTCGAAAATGTGACCACTAGAATGTTAACAAGGTTTTTCCATATTTGGGCGGTGTGACCTAGTTTTTCATCCAAGATGACCCATGTTCGATCTTGACTTAGAAATCATTAAAACAAACTTTCAGATCAATTAACAGAATATTTGGATCACAACAGTAGCCACTAGAGTGTTAACAAGATTTTTCTTTTTTTTAGCTCCTGTGACCTAGTTTTTCATCCGAGATGTCCCATGTTCGATTTATTCCCAGCAATGACCTAGACAAGTTTCTTGACCAAGTTTGATGACAATTGAGTCCAAATTGTGACTACTAGAGTGTTAACAAGGTTTTTCTATTTTTAGCTCCGGTGACCTACTTTTTCATCCGAGATGACACATGTTCAAACTCATCCGAGCTATCACCTAGACAAACATCTTGACCAAGTTTGATGATGACTGATGCAAAAATGTGACCGCTAGTGTGTTAACAAGGTTTTTCTACTTTTAGCTCCCGTGACCTACTTTTTCATCCGAGATGACCCATGTTCGAACTCATCCGAGCTATCACCTAGACAAGCATCTTGACCAAGTTTGATGATGATTGATGCAAAAATGTGACCGCTAGAGTGTTAACAAGGTTTTTCTATTTTTAGCTCCGGTGACCTACTTTTTCATCCGAGATGACCCATGTTCGAACTCATCCAAGCTATCAACTAGATAAGCATCCTGACCAAGTTTGATGATGATTGATGCAAAAATGTGACCGCTAGAGTGTTAACAAGGTTTTTCTATTTATAGCTCTTATGACCTAGTTTTTCATCCAAGATGACCCATATTCGAACTCATCCGAGCTATTATCTAAACAAGCATTCTGACCAAGTTTGATGATGATTGGTTCAAAAATGTGACCACTAGAGTGTTCACAAGGTTTTTCTATTTATAGCTCCTGTGACCTCCTTTTTTATCCGAGATGACCCATGTTCGAACTCATCCGAGCTATCACCTAGACAAACATCCTGACCAAGTTTGATGATGATTGGGTCAAAAATGTGACCTTTAGAGTGTTCACAAGGTTTTTCTATTTTTAGCTCTTGTGACCTAGTTTTTCATCCGAGATGAGCCATGTTCGAACTCATCCGAGCTTTCAACTAGATATGCATCCTGACCAAGTTTGATGATGATTGAGGCAAAAATGTGACCGCTAGAGTGTTCACAAGCAATTGTGGACGTATGACGGACGCCGGACATTCACCGATCCTAAAAGCTCACCCTGAGCAAGCTCAGGTGAGCTAAAAATTTGGAACAGACTATTGTTAAAAGAGAGTTATTTTTTTATCTAAATGATAAAATTCAGCAAATCAACAGTATACAGTCTTGTTAGACTGCCTAAATCTGTAGGCTGGAATGGCTTTTTCTTGCCAGGATTATCTACTGTTTACCCACGTGTCTTACATCCCACATGTAAGACCATTCGAGTGCTTTGAATGACGTCATTGCACATGCTTTTTATGAATTAATGGCGTTATTAGGATGACATCATTTTGCCATTATGAATGAAGTTGTTAATTTGTACATACTATAAGTAAAAGGTTTACAGAAATGAATATCTAGCCCTCTAGTAACTGTTTAGCAGAAACTCAGCAGAGTCTTGTTACCAAAGTAAACAGGTACCCTCGAGCTAGATATTTTGGTCTGTACATATAATATTGCTGACATAAGAAAATAATCATTTCCAAGAGCATTGACAAAATTATAGTCTTTTTACAGAAAATCTAGTACCTGTGTGTAGGGCTGGAAAAATGTACTTATCACCAAGGGCATTAACAGCAATTAATCTATTTCAACAGAGAATGTAAAAACTGTGTGTACGGCTGGAAAAATGTCCTACTAACCTTCATCATCTTTGGTGTGTTTAAATGTTGGACTTTCATCTTTAATATAAGATTTCTCATCCTGTCTAGGGCGGAACAATCTTGGTGTGTACAACATGGTGTGTGGTGCGACTATAAATAATAGAATAAATACACTGTCAAATATATCTATAAGATTATAATCTTATGAAGTTAGTATCAGCTTATAAATTACAGTTTCTGAATGACTTCTGTTTAGTTTTTCTAGTATCTCAAGCTTGAATAATGAAAAACTATCTCATTAATACAGGTACATTCTTACATGATGAACATAAATATTCAAACAAATTTAAGAAGGATATTTACTTAGTTACGCATTCACACTTACAGTGAATGCATTTTTGTTGTTTCTTATAAAGTAAATTAACTTAAAATTGGATCCAAAAATATATTTATCTTATTTATATTTTATTTATAAGGCACTGACAAAAATAAGCAAGTGAGTTATAGAAATTATTAAAATAGTTTAGATTGCAGTTTTAATTACTGCTACTTATAAATGTATAGCACACAATTATTAAGTATATATGAGATGAAAACCTGTTTGCATGCATCTATGCATACTACATAATGAACAGAGCTTCATAATGAATATATATTTATTTTGGTAATATACAAGGAAATGTATGCTAATACCCATTACCCTTGAACTTCAAAAGAATAAAATATTATTCTAACCCACCCCCAAACACACTAGGCCACACCTCCTTGTATGTACTTACAATGTTTGACATGGGCATTTATTTTATCCACTAGTATCAGGCACATTTGGTCTACAGTAAATCTTCCTTTCTTCTGTTTCAACATATCATCTACAAAATCCCCTGAAAATACCAAATATAAAGATATATAAATTAATTAACAGAAAAAATGTATTTAAACCTTAGCTTTTAGACCTTAGAACTTTATTAACATTTTTTCAATCAGCATTTCATAAAACTATCCAAATTATACATTTCTATTGCATCTATCAATATTTATATTCTTAATGGAAAATGTGCCCATTGTAGACCTATCCACTTTATGGAGTTTTACTGGTAGTTAAATCAAATCTGTCAAGAAAACAGACTATTTCCTTTTGCTTCTGCTTCATACCAAATCATGAGAAACTTAATTTAACATTCAGATTCTTTATTATATTTGAGCCGCGTCACGACAAAACCAACATAGTGCGTTTGCGACCAGCATGGATCCAGACCAGCCTGCGCATCCGCGCAGTCTGATCAGGATCCATGCTGTTCGCTATCAGTTTCTCTACTTGTTATAGAGTCTGTAAGCGAACAGCATGGATCCAGACCAGCCTGCGCATCCATGCAGGCTGGTCTGGATCCATGCTGTTCGCAAACCCATTATGTTGGTTTTGTCGTGACACGGCTCATATATTATATGAACTGAGGTATGATGTTGTATAACTTACCCATGACCTTCGAGATTTTTTTAGGAGGCGTATCTTTCTGTACACCTGCTATAGTGGGACAATATGCCACAATGTCCAGCAGGATCTCTCTGTCCAATGGTAAATACTGTTTCTGATGCTGTCTGAAATGGTGTAAAATCATAATATTAAAGGGCCTCCACTGAGGTTTTTTTTGACATGTCGGGACTGGAAATAATCTTTTGAGATTAGTGTTCCATTTGATGTAGGTCTAGACCAATAACTTGTGTGCAAAATTTCAGATCGTTCGCTTACTCTGCTTTTCCTGAATAATTATTCTACTTGAGAACAAATAATGCAAAATTGAAAAGCATTGCAACCCTCTTCAATCAAATCAGGCTTAAAAGAGCACAAAAATAAGGTTTTTAATTTATTTCTACAGACATTTGTTTATATTCTTATTTATCTCTTGCATATCTTTCTGTTTTAAGTGCCCAAGCTGATCTATGTTCAAAATATTTTTTTTATGTTTTTAGGCTTTTGGACCTTAGTGGAGTTCCTTTAATACATATGCCACTCAATGTAACAAATAGGATTTCAATGACCAAGTGTTTAAAGTTTCTGCCTTTCAAATTGAGACAGATTCTGGAATCTTTCATGTGATAAAACTATTCAGTTTACAGATGGTCAGAGATTATACTCAGGTGTACACTCATGTCTGAAATATTGTAGGGAGGAGCAGATGTTTAAATCCACCAGTAAAGCTGAACAATGGCCATCTGACCCTCAAAATTAGTTGCAAAAATTACTCAAGTCAGTGGCATTTATTATCATATATAGTAAATTTGAAATACATTCAGTTAGAAATGAATCTAAATGCATGTGAAAATATCAATTTCATTCTAACAACTGTCATATTATTAACAACAATCAGACACATATCATCACCTTAGTGCAGTAACAACTAGAACTGCCACTGTCATGGCTTGAAAACCCCCGCATACCACTTTGTCAGAATCAACAGTGACCATTGAGAGCTCAAAGACAACCTCCCTGCAAAATCTGAGGTTACTAAGCCAGTGCATTGCTAAGTTATGTATTCTTCATGCTTCAAATGTGAAAATGTCACTGCGGATAGGCATTCTTAAGCATTTGAGCAGACAAGCTTATTATAGTAAAATCCCTGTGACCTTGACCTTTGACACAGTCGCCTAAAAATCAAAAGGGGTCATCTACTAGTCACAAACAACCTCAATACCAAATATGAAAACTGTTGACCAAAGCCTTCTTGAACAATTGAGCGAACAAGCTTTTTTAAGTCAAGGCCCCTGTGACCTTTGACCTGGTGACCTCAAAATCAATAGGGGTCATCTACTAATCATGACTAACTTCCATGCCAAATATGAAGACTGTGGGCCAAAGGATTCTTAAGTTATTGGGCGGACAAGAAAAAAACCGACGGACGCCAGACGGCCGGACGGACAAGCTGATTCCAGTATACCCCCCTTACAACTTTGTTGTGCGGGGGTTTAATTAGTCACATAGTGTAGAAACAGGTTAACTCCTATTAAACTATATAAGGAGTTAACCTGTTACTGCATTAAGGTGGTATTATCCTATCCTTTATGCATTAAAATAAAATAATTAAGATATGCATGTAATGCAAAGAAGATGCTTCTTCCATAAATTTATGTCAAATGAATTTTAATTTCTTAAACGTCCTATTTTATTAACTTTGTAAAAAAAATATCAGATCGAAAACAACATACCCTTTACATTTTTCATCATTGCACGTTCCTTGAAGATCAAATCTACACAGTACAATTTTAGGTAAAAGTTTATTAGCCACACAACGTGAAGTCAAATTCTTACATGCTTTAGTCCGGAAATATGGGCTAAACCTGTAAATATAGAAAGGCATATAACAAATGTAATGAAAGCCACAAGATTTAAATATCAGACAATACATGATTTTTTTAATACAGTCTTTTAATTTTTTTATAAAATAAAATTTGTCGCAATAAATTTCACATTACTTTCTCTGTTTTGTATTTGGAACTTAAAACTTTGATCAAAGGCACCAATTTTTTCTGTCTGTAAAATAAGTGCTAAAATGCTTACACTTCATTGATATCATTTTCATTCTTATGAACACTATATATAATTTTTATTTTCTTTCTGATTTTATTAAATTGACTATGGTAAGGAATACTTGCTCTGAAATATAGAACAGTACCTGTATGATTTAAAATGGAGAAGTGGGCTTTTATACACAAAGTCAGAGATTTGATTGGAAGAACTGGATGTGCTTGTTTTGGCTGGTGCTTTATATGCATGTAAACACGATAACTGAAAAATAAGGAAACAAAAAGATGTTACACAAATACCACATTGAAAACAAAGTTTCTGAATTCTGATAATTTGACCTTGAAGGTTATTTCAGAATGAGTTATATTTCAATACAATTTAAATCAAGCTCTACAGGACAAGTAACATCTGTTTAAGTATAAAAAGCTCTAGCTGAAAGAATGTAAATGATACAATAACATGTCAATGTGAAGTCACATGTACTGGTTTAGCAGAAAGAGGGCTTTATCATAAATGTGCAAACATAAATATTTAAACAAAATAACTAATCTTGATAACTTCTTCTAATATAAGGAAAAGCTTTTAAGTAAACTATGCCTCAATCACACTACAAATCATTTTGAACCATTGTTTCTAAACAATTTTAAAGTCATAAAATGCAGGAATGTTTACAAATTTAATCTCTTCGTTACACAACTAGTATTCGATTTACAATATAACAATATGATTATTTTAAGAAACTTGTCTTGAGGCCGCATTCTTTTGAGCTAATTTATTTTGAAATCCTATCAATTTAGGCCAATTCAAGGCAAGCATGATTATATATATTTCATTTATAGAATGATCACACAATACAGGACCCTCAGCCATACCATTGAGGGAACATATCAAAGTAAGGACACTTCAGTATTAGAAAAATTATAACCATATTTATTTTAAATTATAACCATATTTATTTTAAATTATAATCATATATGACAAGTGCACCTGTCGCTGTTTTATACACAGGGCCGGATAATCCTGCTTAACTTTGTAACTGTCTGATGACAAATGAGAGAATGCCTTCAAATCATCATCTATACGCTGTTTCTGTAATACACAACAAATTTCATATCTTCATTTATACAATATAATAGAGATATATCAAAGAAAAATTCTAGTGATAAAGATGGTTGCTCAAAAATGCTGCTTTGATTCTATAAAAAAAATTTATCAACGGCAAAATGTCAGAAAAATCTCAAAAGATCTTAGAACCCACAGCAAACATAGCTAGTCCACGTGTATAGGTCTATCCCAGATATGTACAAACCAAAGATATATGAAATAAATAACTGAAGCGCTCAAGTACAATAGACAAATGAATGTACTTATTTAATATCTTTTTCTGACACCAGTACTAACAGCGACTATCATGCTCCTTTTTTTAATTTCAAAATTCAAACAATCAGTAAAACTCTAAACAAACAAAAAATTTCCCAATTACTCATCATGACATATAGTAAATTAAAGTTATACATACATATCATGTAGTTTTATCATTTTATAAACTAATGCAGACACAAAATGGGAATATTAGATAATATTATCACCTGAAGTTTAAGAATCCTCAGCAGATTTTTCCCTTCTGGTATGGAAATTTTAAATATATTATCATTTGTCTTCACGCATTTACTTTTTATCAATTCTTTTAACTTCAAATCACTTAGTACTTGGGGTTAAGTTTAGCAAAGACTAGTCTTTTAGTTTTATTTTCATTTTTCTTCATCGGTCAAGTCGATCGGATCCGATCCTAACTCAATCTTCTCCATCTTCAGCACGCTTTTACTCATTGCTAAATCTTTCTGTTCATTCTTAAGCCTCTCAGCCTTTTGTTTATCAATCTCAGCATGTTTTAACTTCATCTCCCCGAGTTTGATTTCGTTTCTTAGTTTCATTATCTTTAATCTTTTCTCTTCTTTTGCTTTCAGTATCTGTTCTCTTTTCTTCCGTTGCTGTTCTAACTCGATTTTCTTTTGTTTCTCCAGTAAAGCCTTCATCTCAAGTAAAGACTGTTTCTGTGTATGAATAGAGTTCATGTTTCTAGACTGTTTCACAGCTTCTGTGACCGGGGTGACAATCATGTTTCCTTTATTCTCAGAGTTTGGCACACGGTCATTGTCAAGAACATTGGTACTTTGTCCGATAGATGGGTTATTTATAGTAACAGTCATATTCTCTTTCATTGTATGCTTGCCAGCAGGTTTAGACTGTAAAATATATATGAAAGCATTTAGTCTTTGATATTTTAAATTTCATTTATTTAACACTATATTTATAACCTGAAGTCACTTAATTGATAGTGAAAACTTGGAATATATTTTCAGTTAAGTAACTTGTAAGCTACTATAACTATTAATTCAATAGTCTTCTGGATTTATCAGGCAATCATTCAGGTCATTCTACCACTAGGTTATGATTAAATGCTGATAACAAACAAGAACGAAGGCTGAAACCATCTCAACATAGGCAATTTTAAATATCTAACTTATTACTTAGATATCAAATATCAATAACTTTTGTTTTCGTTTCATAGCAGAACACTGGCGATCCATTTATAAACAATTAATACAACATCCAATTTTTTAGATAAACTGTTAAAATTTTAAAGAAACCTGTTCAGGGAAACAAAATGTTTAAAGCTCCAGTTAAAATGGGATGAAAGCAATTTTATATGCCAGGAAGTCAGCGACATTCACAAAATTTCTTTATAAAATATTTGTAAACAAGATATGTTTGTAAAACATGTATGCCCCCTATCAGCAGCCAATTAGTCATGTGATAAGGTTATTATGCATGACTTCTGACCCAGTGATCAAACAATTAATAAGGGTTATCAAGTATCTACTGGTCATGACCTTAACCTTTGACCCCTTGACCCAAAACTCAATAGGGGTCATCTGCTGGTCACGACCAATCATCATACAAAGTTTGAAGTTCCTAGGCCTAAGCGTTTTTAGTTAATTGATCGGAAACCGTTTTTACCTACAAGGTCAATGTGACCTTGACCTTTGACCCCTTGACCCAAAATCAACAGGTCATCTGCTGGTCATGACCAATCAACATACCAAGTTTGAAGTTCCTAGGCGTAAGGGTTCTTTAGTTATTGATCGGAAACCGTTTTAACATACAAGGTCAATGTGACCTTGACCTTTGACCCCAAAATCAATAGGGGTCATCTGCTGGTCATGACCAATCACCATGCCAAGTTTGAAGTTCCTAGGCCGAAGCGTTCTTTAGTTATTGATAAGAAACCGTTTTTACTTACAATGTCAATGTGACCTTGACCTTTGACCCCTTGATCCCAAAATCAATAGGGGTAATCTGCTGGTCATGACAAATCACCATACCAAGTTTGAAGTTCCTAGGCCTAAGCGTACTTAAGTTATTGATCAGAAACCGTTTTTACTTACAAGGTCAATGTGACCTTGACCTTTGACCCCTTGACCCAAAACTCAATAGGGGTCGTCTGCTGGATGACCAATCATCATACAAAGTTTGAAGTTCCTAGGCCTATGCGTTTTTAGTTAATTGATCGGAAACCGTTTTTACCTACAAGGTCAATGTGACCTTGACCTTTGACCCCTTGACCCCAAAATCAATAGGTCATCTGCTGGTCATGACCAATCACCATACCAAGTTTGAAGTTCCTAGGCCTAAGGGTTCTTAAGTTATTGATTGTAAAGCATTTTTACCCAAGAGGTCAATGTGACCTTGACCTTTGACCCCTTGACCCCAAAATCAAAAGGGGTCATCTACTGATCATGACCAATCACCATACCAAGTTTGAAGTTCCTAGGCCTTAAGGTTCTTTAGTTATTGATCGGAAACCGTTTTTGCTTACAAGGTCAATGTGACCTTGACCTTTGACCCCTTGACCCCAAAATCAATAGGGGTCATCTACTGATCATGACCAATCACCATACTAAGTTTGAAGTTCCTAGGCCTTAAGGTTCTTTAGTTATTGATCGGAAACAGTTTTTGCTTACAAGGTCAATGTGACCTTGACCTTTGACCCCTTGACCCCAAAATCAATAGGGGTCATCTACTGATCATGACCAATCACCATACCAAGTTTGAAGTTCCTAGGCCTTAAGGTTCTTTAGTTATTGATCGGAAACCGTTTTTGCTTACAAGGTCAATGTGACCTTGACCTTTGACCCCTTGACCCCAAAATTAATAGGGGTCATCTACTGGTCATGACCAATCACCATACCAAGTTTGAAGTTCCTAGGCCTAAGGGTTCTTTAGTTATCACTCGGAAACCATTTGGTCTACGGACTGACGGACCGACAGACCGACGGACCGAAAAGTGCAAAGCAATATACCCCCTTTTCTTCGAAATGGGGGCATAATTAAAATGGTAAGCGTGTCAATTTTTCTCACCACTATGGGTCTGTTCTCTAATTGTGAATTGACTAGAGGTAGATTTGTAGATTGTACGACACGTTTTCGAACAGACTGAGGAGCACCAATCTTATATTCTGCACCGTGTAACTCACGCCCAGCTTCTATCAAACCCTTCTGTAGAGTCTCGTACTCAGTCTTCTTCTTTAACAGTCGGTCTTTAACCAACCTTGCCTTAAATATGAACAACAAAATCATTGCTTTTATGTCATGAACCTCAATTTGTTTGGGACTGATCAAATGCAAACATATCCTTGAAAACTTTGTTCATTTGTTTATAAACATAATTATTTGACTATAAAAAATTGAACATAACCCTTTACAATAAGTGAATAAGCAACACATATGCAACATTTTATTCCCAATATAACCATTGTATGCCTTTAGCAGTAGGTTTACGAATATATTCCTACAAAGAAATGTCCAAATATAATGTAAGACTTTGAATCTGTAGAGGATAGACAACGATGAAAAATTCTTTAAGTTGATTTTTTTGCGAGATTTAAGTTGCACCCTTGCTGTAACTTCATTGGTGTAGGAATACCACAAATGCAGCTATGTATTTTTTTAGGCACCCAAGAAGAACCACTGACATTATGTATGCCAGCTGGATGGCTTAACAAATTTCATATACTTAAATTAACAAGAATTCATAATGACTAAAAGAATGACACCAACCTGTTTTTTGGCTTTCTCCAGATTGTCTTTATTTGCAGTGGCAACTTTCTCGGCAGCTGCTAATTGTTCCGTTAACTGTTTAACCTTTGCTTCAGATATCTTTACATTCTGTAGATACTTAGATGCCTGGTTCACTAGAGTCTTCAATAAAGTTTGGTCTTTTGTAATACTTTCACTGAAATATATATGTAATATCATCATTAAAAAGTTTTTGTCATAATCAACTAATAATAATAATAATCTCTAATACAGTAAACTCCTTTCATAATGATATTCAGACGGACCGCTGAATTTATATCATTATATCCGGATATCATTATCCTAGAGGCAATCAAGTACAAAAACATGAGTCCCGACTGCGACATTAGCAATAAGTGGAGTTTACTGTATACTAAATGGGTTGAGAAATCATTTATGAACACTGTTATGTAAACATGTTTATAGTACTAAATTTGTATAGGAATTATTTAAGAAAACTGTTTTTTTTATACATTTTAAAGTAAGAATTTAAGTCTCTCACATAAATGTCATATGGCAGATAACCTGTCAAACTGTCAATCTGTTAGACTTATTATGTTACCCATTTAAGTTGTGTATATTAGCTATTTGTAGATCTACTTGTGCCTAAGCTCTGATAAAATCTGCTTATAATCTATTTTGTGTTTTCTGTGCCTGAGATAATTGCACATGTTGGAAAAAAGAACACAATTATAAAACAACTTATTTTTTAATCAATATAAAACATTAAGGTAATTGTTTAGCCCTTGTACAAACTACATAGCTAACAGTTGTTAACTGAAAATGAACTATATATTATAAATTATTATATTTATTCTGATTATGTCTGGGCTAAAATTTCCAAGGAAGTACAGACCTTTGTTTGAGAAGATTAATTTCCTCCTGTCTGACTCTAGACATCAACGCCTGTCTCCTCTTCATCTCTAATACTTTCTCTGTGTCAACTTTCTTTGGTGACTGACCTCCAGTTGTCTGGAAATAACACAATTTATTTCAATATACCTTGCCACTCAAGTAACAAATCTAAATGTAAAAAATATATGATATTGAATTTCATCAAGCTAGTAACTAGAGTTTTCCATTACACAATCTTGTTAATAAAAATACCTCTGTTGAGCGTCTAGCCTCCTTTAGGAATGAATCAAGTCCACCCAGTAGTTTTTGTACACCAGATGGCGCTGTTTGTAACTTTTCTTCCTCCTCATCTGAAGAGTCCTCTCCAAGGTTGATAATCACTGGCTTATGAATCGGCAGATTCTACAATATCAATTTTTATATTCAAAACATAATGACAAGTCACTCTTTCAGTGTAATATCAAATTGCTCTTAAGGAAAAGTAAAATACACCTTGAAAATTTAATGTTTAAATAATAACATGTTCATAAAACACAATGCTCCTGTTTCAGTCACATCATATTTTTTAAGTCAATCATTTTGGAGTCATGCTCAGTTTTTTTTAAATGTTAGAGTAAAACCCATCTTTTTCTAAATGAATAAAAGATGGTATGGCAAAGGTTTAAGTTGTTTTCATACATGATAAAAGCAATAACCATCCTCTGCTTTGATCTGGTGACAAAAAAAATCCTGCAAATTCAACTTACTGCCATATGAATTCTACTGTAAGCTTGTTTCTGTGGGATTGGTTTAGCTGGTCTAACTACTGTAACTGAGCTAGGAGACTGGCTTCTTGATAGAGAACTATCACTTCTACTGGCATCCTGAAATTCAAAAGAAATGACAATGTTGTTAACTGTTGAAATTCCCTTATAAATAATCATATCTTTGAAAATAACTATTAAGACTATATGGTAGAGTACTTTGTTTTACAATTTGTCTTTAAAAAAATAGATATAATGAATTTTCAAAATAACTTAGCCGCAGACTTGTGAAATCATTTAAAGAATTAAAATACATGTAGTTCATTACATCAAGAAATTTCCTTTTCAACTTTTTTTTATTCTTAACAAATCCCTCAAATGTTAATAAGTTGATTTTCAAATCAGTTTAAATAGAGCTATTTGATTCATTCAAATCCTTTTCCTATTTGTTAAATGACCTTTATCACTTAAAACAACAAACTTAAATAGACCAATGACACTGTGTTTTTTTAAGAATCAGGGAAAAAAGTGATCCCTCAGAAGCATTAAAATCTGCAAAATTACATGAAAATTGCAGACTTGGTTTGACTGAGTCTGTACATGAAGGATAATGAAAAAGTGCAACATCCCTCATGCCGTCTGGCACCCAACTTTTTAAGAAAATGTCAAAATACAACGTTTATATAAAAAGTTATATATACAAACCTCAAGCAGTTTTTGTTTCTCTTTCATTTTTTTCATCATAGACTGTAACAAATGTGCTCTAAGCATGGCTTCTTCTTCTTCCCCATCATCTTCTTCTTCAGTAACAACCTCTGGTACCGCCAGGGGGCGCCTTTCGTTACAATTCCTGTAGTGTCGTCTGCTAAATTACCAAACTCTCCACTCCTATCTAAATTTACAACTTCCTTATTTCTAGAATTCCAGCTGTCTGGTATTGTTGTTGGACTGTATCCAGCTAATTTAAACAGACGTGACTCCGACATACCATGATGACTGACGTCGTGATTTATTTCTATGTTTCCGCGGAGACGATAATCCTGATCCTCATGACCATTTAAGTCATTGTTACTGTTATTAAAGTTTAAATTAGCCATATACTGTTGATTAGGCTGGAATGTGTTTGTCATTGGTAAATTATTCATGAATTGAATCTGATCATGTGACTCACTATCGCCCTCTGGTGGAGGCGGAGGTAGACTCTCTGTTGGTAACGGTGGAGGGAACACGCTGGAAGAGGTGGGGAGTCTGATGGAGGTAATGGCGGATTTGGTGGCGGTTCACACGGCAACGGTGGAGGTGGCGGGGGCGGCAGAATGTCTCTTAACCCGCTCATCTGATCGGGAACCATTTGTAGGGAATGTTGATCCACAAACTGGTAGGGTCTACTAATATCTTGAAACATGGCCGTGTTATATGGCATCATAGAAACGTGTGAATCGGAGAATGAGATCAAAGGCGCGGGAGGATATTGCTGTGGTTGAGAGGCTGACGCATGTATAGCAGTATCGGAGAATGACGGACCTTGTATAGACCAGCCCATAGCAGGATCATACCCTTCATAAGTCGGTTGCATTGTCTGAAAAATTGAATAACATATCTTTCTTTTCTTACACTGACATACTTTATTAGTTAAAACAGGGCCGGCAAAATCTTATATTGCCATACTTATATGTACTGACTGAAGCATTTGTTTACGTGTCTGTTTAAAATCTTATAAATTTAATTCTTGAAAAAATTCACCTCTCTATACAGGCTGTCAGACAATCTGGGCAAAACAGACAATTGACTTTGCCACTTCTGGTGGAAAGAAGTTAAACCATTTGAAATGTCCAATACGTTGTACAGGGATTGCAATATAAAAACTTGGCAAAAACAGTATAGCCTTGTTGACTGCAATGTTCTAAATATTGACTCAGCTTTAAGCTGTTGACATAATCCTTCAATTATTGCCAAAAACTCTCAAGACAGTCAACTGAAATCTACACATTCACATCATAATAAATGTTATATTTTCCTTTTTTATTCTTTGGTTGTCTGAACAATGCTTTTGATTTGTGTATAACATGATACAGGACCGGTTCTTTGACAACTAAATTACAATTAATTTACTACCTCGCTATAAACGGTATAAAATGAAAGGATTAATAGAAGGCATAAGGCTGGGACACAGTAGAATGTACGTTATAAGCGGAACCGGGTAAAAACCGATCTCATTATAAGTGTAGTAGACCGTATATAATGATACATTTCTTCCACATTAAGCAAATCTTGGAATGCTATATAAGAAATTGTTAAAATTTTTTTAATAATTTGTATTGCATTTGTATTACCATATACATGGGTTGCATAGCATTGTAGAAATCCGGTTCAAACTGCAATTCTTCAACTGGGTTAACAGGAGCTGTAACATAAGAAATCCCCAATTCACCATTTTATGAATTCCATATTTATATTACAAAATTTTCCGCAGCAAGTTGACCATGAATGAGTCTGTGATATTATTCAACAATTGAGTTGGTTATCAATTAGCTTTGTCAAAATAAAATCACTAAAAAGCATTCAAGTAGAATACAGGCATGTCACAAAGCTCAACTCTAAAGGACCTCTATCGCTAAATGGCTAAGGCAACTGTTTCTTAATCATTTGCCTATCACTCTAGTTGGTTCTATTTTCAAATCCCACTCGGGGGCTATGAATTCTTGCATGTGATGAAACTGTCTACCTTGCATGCTAAAGATAAGTGGTTCAACTCATAGAGACAACTTATGCCTGACAAAATGGATGGTAGAGTTCCTTCGGCCTTTCTCCAACAGTGAAGCTTAAAATTTGCTATAGATGACCATATATCAAGTCATTACATTGATTTCTATTGCATGAACTCAAAAGGGTCTTGACAAGTTTTTACTTCATTTGAAATTTAAATATTAAAATTGAAAACATGATAAATAGAATACCAAACAAGTGTCTGATATTTTAAATTTTATCAGACTCAGCATGAAAAAATGAAGTGCTCGGCAGAGCCTTGCCCTACTTTATTTTCTTAACCTCTCCTGATAAATTTTGTAATATTGGACTCTAGCATAGTATTCTCTATTTTTATGTTGGTAAGACTTCAAATCAAAACCCCTATTAAACAAAAAGTAGCAGAATTTGATCACTTTCTTCGAAAAATACAATTTCAATATTTTGCAGATAGAGATATAATAGCATAAGAAGATATATTATTAGTTATAAAGATTGTTGACAGGTTATATGGCCCTATATAAATGGCTGTTTGTAAATATAACCCGAGCCACTAGGCGAGGGTTATATTGGAAACAGCCGTTTATACACGGCCATATTACCTATAAACAATCTTTATAACAAATTTATAATACAGCAAACATCATTTTTTAGAGAAAAAAGTAAGATTTCTTCATGAATCGACAACAGCCGTGGGTATAAAACTATATTAAAGTCATGATTATCCAATGAAAAGCGACGTTACAATCGTGCAGTATTATAAAAGTATATATACCAGCAGGGGTTGATTCCGGATCACTGTCTATATCCATCTCTACCTCTTCATAATTGTCATGTGTGGGCTCTGAATCGACACCCTCTATAGTCTTTGAGCTCACCTTGATTAAACAAGAATACAATGTTTAAGTGAAGAACATAAAAGAAATTTTATATTGAAACATTTTATATAGCTTCAAATCATGAAACTGACTTTTTCTATTACCATTTATGGGTTTATATTAATTTACAATAAAACATACTTATAAGTTACATTGAAGATAAAAAAAGTAGTTTTTAGATTTAAAGCACTTGTTTGTCAAGCTTTACTCAAGAGGAAAAATGAACACCAATTCCTTTCCTTATAAAGCTTACAAAAAGTCTCTGGAAATTTACTAGAATTTGAAGCATGTAGCTAGAATTGAATTTTAAATGCCTCTTAAAAAGATGCAAATATCATGAAATACAAAATTTTAAATAGATAATATGCACCCAAAAAACTTAAAGGCCCAAAAATGAGTTCATCTTGATAAAAGTTATTATACTTTTAACAATTTCTTCACCTTATAACTAACAATGTGTTCCAAACGTAATAGACAGTAGATACATGTACAAATACAAAAATTCCATCAAACAGAATAGATACAGCTAAAATTAAAGCTGCATGCCTCCAGATGAGTCAAAATATTTCAATAAAATCAAACTTGAGAAATATGTACTACGATTTTAGGAAAAGTAAAATGATTCAAGATTCAAGTAATATTTTACATGTTATGTGCGGTTAATGACTGATTTTTCGGTATTTACAAGTATATTTCTACTGCGTTACTAACGCAGTAAGGGCTATTTATGCATATTTTGACCACTTTTTGGTAATTTACGTGGGTTGTAAGTGCCATTGATAATGTGTAAATTGCTTCCTTTTGGTTATTTCACAATATTATACATTCAAATACATTTTCAAAATTTTCATGAAAATTAGCATGAATCTGGAGGCGTGCTGCTTTAAGATACATTCAAAAACAACTACCTTCACATCCAAGGCTCTTTTCTCCGACTCTTTCGACAGATTTTTATCGAGCATAGACAGAAGTCTAGCAATTTTTTCCTCCGGGTCATCAAGACTAAGTATTTTCTGTATATCATTTGAATCTGCTAGATAACTTCTTTTGTCTGACGAGTTACGTCGAGTGACCGGTCTTTCCTCTTTGCTGCTCAACCGTAATCTTCCAGTACTAATACTTGACCTAGAAGGGTAGCTATTTTGTCTAGTTCTAGTATATGGAATGGGTTTTCTTGGTGTTCTGTCATCTATTTTATAAGGTCTACGTGAAGTAAATGAGCTTGTTTTGTAAGATCGTAAAGCAGGTGTCCGTGCTCGTAGAAACCTGGAGTGTCTTTGAGTCCTTGCTGAAAATTCCAAAGAGTACAATAAGGTAAATATCCTATAAAAAAAAAATTACTTGAGTATGATTTACAAGCAATTTTAAAGTATCATCTACATAAAGTTTATCATATAACAGAAATGAAATCAGGTATAGAATAATTTAAGAAGGAACACATTTGATCAATATGAAAAGAGAGCAAGAATAAATTTATATTTTAACATCAACATTCTAATTTTCGGAAGAGTGTAAATGGGTTACTCAAAATTTACTGCCTTCATATGATGGGATTATAAAATCTGTAATAAGTTATTACAAATGAGCATCAAGTAAGAGGCAATATTATTTTTATGTTTAAGCCAAACTAGACAACAATGTTATGATGAAACTTAACTTTCAATTCACACAAGCTTACCTATTTAATGAATCAATAATGTTATTATATAAATTGCAAAAGAAATCAATGCAGTTTGTTACCATCATTTTTGCTTTTGTTCCTGTTCTGTGATTTTGACAAACCATCTCTATTAGAAGGTCTTTGAAATGTTTTAGGTGATGATTTTTCACGAGATGTTCTTCTTGTGGTTTTACTTGATTCATCACTTGCCTAAAATTAAAAATGACAAAAAGATTAATTCTTGCCCTGAAAATTGACACTGCCCTGGCAACAGATGGACTATGAATAGAGCTCATTAAAGGTCCACAAATCTCCCTTACTATCCCTCATGTATGGAGCTCATAAAAGATCCACAACTCACCTTTACTATCCCTCATGTATGGAGCTCATTAAAGGTCCACAACTCACCTTTACTATCCCTCATGTATGAAGCTCATAAAAGATCCACAACTCACCTTTACTATCCCTCATGTATGGAGCTCATTAAAGGTGCACAACTCACCTTTACTATCCCTCATGTATGAAGCTCATAAAAGATCCACAACTCACCTTTACTATCCCTCATGTATGGAGCTCATTAAAGGTGCACAACTCACCTTTACTATCCCTCATGTATGAAGCTCATAAAAGATCCACAACTCACCTTTACTGTCCCTCATGTATGGAGCTCATTAAAGGTCCACAACTCACCTTTACTATCCCTTATAAATGAAGCTCATTAAAGGTCCACAAATCTCCCTTACTATCCCTCATGTATGGAGCTCATAAAAGATCCACAACTCACCTTTACTATCCCTCATGTATGGAGCTCATTAAAGGTCCACAACTCACCTTTACTATCCCTCATGTATGGAGC